GGGCCTCAGTTTTCTTATCTGTAAAATGAGGACAATGTCCAATCCATAGGTTAGGGAGAATTAAAATAATAAATGAAAGTACCTAGATTTATAAATGTTAGTGAAATACAGTAATAACAAAATATCGCAAAAGCAAATTCTGAAATTCCCAAGCTAAAAACTAGTTCTGTTACACACAGGCTTCATCCAAAATCAACATATACGTTCTACCTATTACAAGTTCAGTACATTTCTTAGATATTATTTTACTATGAAGAGTAATGGAAAATATTAACCTAACTGTGAACATCTTTACCAACTGATCAATTTTGTTAAATATTGGGGTTCTGGAGCTGAAAGGGACTCTGGAGAGTGTCTAATCTACTTGCCTTAACTTTAGGTTAGAATAAATACAATACAACAACAATACACAATTTAAATGACTTGTCAAAGGTCAGCTGGACCAGTTAGTAACCAGGTGGCCAGTATCTTAGCTTTTGACTTTAACTTTTGTCCCTGATTACCCATTATTCCAGCATTATAATTTTAACATAAGATAGAAAATGAATTTATTAAAATACTCCTCATATATTATCTAATTTACACAACAACTCTACTAGGTAGGTGTTACTATTCTCAATTTACACATGAGGAAACTGAGTCATAGATAAAATAACTTGCCCAAGGTCACAAAGACAGTAAACAGCCGACCCAAGATCTGAACCTTAATCTGCCTAACTGTAGAGCTCAACTCCTGGAAATAACCAGATGCTGGAGGCTGCTTGCCACTCTGTGAATATGCGGAAAGGCACTGGTTTAGAAAACTGATCACCCTGTTTCATTGTTATGCTCTCCTGTCTACAGGCTTTTACTGATGAAAATATAAATCATTCTTGATTTTCTGACTCTGTGCAACACTTGGTTAGCCTATTTCCAGGTACTACAGCTGTCTGAAAGTGATAAGATAGTTTCTTTTAAAAATTCTGTACTTTAGGGCCGGCCCGGTGGCGCACTGGATAAGTGCGCCGCTTGGGAAGCGTGGCGGCGCTCCCGCCCGAGGGTTCGGATCCCACACACAGACCGGTTCCGCTCGCTGGCTGAGCGAGGCGCGGGAGCAGCACCGAGGGTTGCGATCCCGTTGCCGGTCCCCGGTCCAGTGCGGGGGCGACACTGAGGGTTGCGATCCGTTGCCGGACCCGGAAAAAGACAAAAAAAAAAAAAAAAAAATTCTGTACTTTATAATTTTCCCTCTTTTATATTGACCATCCCACCCATTCATTAGCTTGAATCAATGAGTCTTACTATATTTTAACATTATCAAAAAAGATTAATCTAGATTAACAAGAAAGAGCATGAAAGCAAAAATCAGGTTTAGACTAGACTGTTCATGTGCTTGGTCAGCTCTTCACCCCTCATAGCATAAAGGGAGATTATGGACATAATTCCTATCTGAATTATAACTAATCAGAATTAATGAAATTCCAGTTAACTATGAAATTTAAGATATTATGACTAGATAGTACATACTTATTATAAATAATTAAAAAAACAAACATTTTTAAAGCTATCATTAAAACAGAAACAGATAAATTAGGCTTCCTCGAGCCTGATTATTTTCCTTTTTCTTTTTTTTCTTTAAAAAAAACAAAAAAGAAAAAAAAAACCTTGCTTTGCCTATGCAGGTGATAAAAACATTAATTTTAATTAGTCCTTGTAATTAAGTACTAAAAGTGTCTCTTACTTTCTCATAGGTCCCTAGGAAATAAATCAGTATATTTCTGACTTTCTAATTTACTAGATAGGGGTTATTCAATTATCTGGAATACCATATGTTGGTTTGGGGATTTATTAAAAGAAAATAAATTTCTAGGAATAGCTTGCCATTAATTTTCTGGTTAAGTGAAGATCTTATACAGAAAATATCTCTGCTTCTACCTTTAATTTAACACCTTTCTTAGTAGATTAGCAAACTTTTCCATCTGCCTGAAGCCAATCAAGTGAGGATAGCTGAATCTTTCTTTAGCAACTGAGTACTCTACTGTCTCTGATAACTTTACCTTGAGTAGATAAGAAGTTGAAGAAGATATACAAGACTGAGTTGAATGTAAATGACTCCTGGACATTTAAAATGATGTTTTAAAACCCAAATAATCCAACCAAACAAACAACAGACAAAAACCTCTAGTATATAGCTTGTGTGTATGTGTGCTGCTGAATAATGAGAGAATGCTGGTTAACTGAGTATTCTAATTAATTGATATTCTGCTGTTTTATTGATACTAAAAATGTGCTCATTCATTTATTTATTCAACATACATTTATTGAGAGCCTACCATACGGCAGGAATTGTTACAGGTGTTTGAGATACACCAGTGAACAAAACAGACAAAAAAATTCCTACCCTCGTATAATATAGCTTACATTCCAGTTGGAGAAGTGGAAAAATAAACAAGAAATATAACAAACAAAGTATATAGTATGTCATAACACCATACTCTAACCAACTGAGCTAACCAGCCACCCCTGTATATAGTATGTAGAAAGGTGACTAGTATAGAGAAAAATGGAGTTGAATAAGGGGGAATCTGAGCTTAGAGGAAGACGGGTTACAATTTTAACAGGGTGGTCAGGGTAGGCCTCATTGAGAAGATATGTGAGCAAAGAATTGACAGAGGTAATGGAGTGCATCACACAGCTATGGGAGCAGAGGGGAGAACAAAGCAAAGGGCCTAGGATGGAACAGCACCTGGCCAAAGTGGAAGGAGGAAGGGAGATTAGTGGCAGGAGCTGGTGTGTGTATTCATGCACATGTGTGTTTGGGCAATAAATGTACGTATTACAGGCCACTGTGATTGGCATCCTCCCTTGACCTTGATTCCTGTCAAGAATTAATAGTGCTGCTTACCTGGAACACTATGGTAGTGTTGCTACAGATCAAAATAAAGATGCAAATAGGAGAGTGCAAAGACAGTTTTAAAAAGCAAAGGAAACATTTTACTTTTTAATTGCTTACCTGACTTCAAAGTGCTTCGACAATTCAAGTCTATGAGGTAAGACAATGTGGGGTGCCTCCACTTTATGATTAGAATAATAGAGTGAACTTATCGGTCAAACCCAGCCAGAAACAACTCTGAAAGGAACCCTTTTTGTTCCTGGAGGCTAGGCGGATTTCAAGGAATCCTGAGAAATAATATGAGTTTTTTACTTCAAAGCTTACATTAAGTTAAACTTCTTTTATTTTTTAAAAAGCTAGGTTTAAACATAAAGGAATAAAGTGTGCCTGTCTGGGAAGTGAATAATTACCCTGTAATACACAAAATTCTCGAATTCATTTGGATAATCTCATTGTACTTAAGAAACAGATTTTTCAGAAAGATATTCTTATTTGCTAAATGACTATCACCATGAAAAATACACAGCATTAGTTATTTCAGCTAAAGAATGTCAAGAACTGAATAATCAAGCATTAGGTTATAAAGTTTAAAAGTTAATATAACAGCACACAGTATCTATATTATTGCTTTAAGTAGATAAACGAAAATGAAATGTGTCTCTTAAGCAGTCATTGAACAAGCAAGATGAGAAATAAATTGAGCTTCACATCGGCCTTTATGGCATCTAACAACTGTGTCTGTCAACACACGGATCCTTTTCACTGTCAATTCAACACACATTTTGCAGACCTTGGGCCTGCAATTATTTCATTTCCTTTCTTGGAAATGTAATTTCCACTTACTTTTGGAGAATAAAAGGCAGACAAAAGGAGGAAGGAGTTGCAGTATTTTCTGATTAAGACTATCTCTGTAAAATGGTAAAGGAAAAAAATCTATACACACACACTGAAGCATTTATCAGAAACTAACTTGTCTCAGCCAAATTGCTTTTGTGTCTGGATATTGGTTCAAATGTAGCCAGATTGTTGATGTCAAATTAGGTGTTAAACAAATTTAATAGGAAAGATGAAGAATGAATATAGATCATCTTTCTGTTAGAACTGTTCAGATGACTCTAGTCAAAAGACAGGAAACACATGACTGCAGGAGAAAATGTGCTTTTAAACACAATGAAATTAGATAAAACTGTAAATCAGCAAAGAATGCCATTCACTCTAAAAGAGAGAAAAAAGTTAATAGTACCAAAGAGAGAAATGCAAGAGAGGAAGAAAATAGCAGTTGGCAAAAATAGATCCAAATTGAATTTCGACTTCATCTGTCCAGGTTTCACCTTTTCAGCTAAGACAGCCACAGCTACAAAAAAGGGATTCTTTCTCTTGATAGAACAGGAAATCACAGGTTTAATTAACTGTGATTACAATATTTGGCTGATCTGATTTGTCTCACCTCTTCCTTTTCTTTAAGTGACAAACGAGCTGACATCCTGGCAAGAGAACTAAAGCAAAACTGTAGACTAATTTCAGAAAGAGCCTGCCATTGTTATAAAACAAATTGATCCTCCACTAGATCTGTCTGAAATACATTCAATAGCAGGATTAACTCTTTGACAAAGTGCCATTCTGAAGCATGTCTATATAGATAAGTCTTAACATAGGATGTTTTCATTCTCAGGACAGAGCAATATTAAGGCACATCTTTAACTGAGGACCAGAAAATAAGGTTGTAAAAACATACTCTTCCAAGTAGGCTCTGAAAGATCTAGTATCTTCTTTTGGTTGCTCATGAACCATTAAAAGGGATGATCTAAGCATTTAATCTTGAAAGACTGATCAAGTGTCTGCTGATACAGGTTAAGGATCATCCAGGCCAATTCTTTGTGTAGAAGAATCTGATTACCAAACCAGTTTAGGGGAAGGAATTCTCTTTATACATGATATTTGCATTGTATCTGAATGAGAACTCTAAGCTAGAAGCATAGAATCAAAAGTTGGCTCATCAAAAGAAAGAAGAGTATTTACTGGCTAGCCAAATCAAAATCTCTCTAAAGGGAAGCAAACCAAAGAAACACACAAGTTAGTCATTACAGATTCTTCTACACACTACTTAGTAAAGAGCATTATTACTTACTTAAATGTAACCTTGGAACTTGTGCATCCTTCCCATTTACAGGACCCTTCACCTGGCTCAGGTGTTGGGGGGGACGGGCTGTTGAATTCTGCCTCCAGAGTTTTCTTGTTCAAGGCTGTTTTTGTTACACTGGATACAGAACCCAACACTGGCATGGATTTGGACTCTGAGGTGGCTAATATCCCGGTTGGACCTTGAAACCAAACACATACCTCAAGTTTAATCATTCTGTGTGATGCTTATTAATATGGTACTGAAAAACAGATTAGCTGAAAATCCCTCAAGGAGTGAAAAGGCTAAATTTGTTAAAAATTTCAAGAGCATGCTGGAAAATGTTCCTACTGGAAATTGGTTCTGCTTCAGTGGTACTACTGTTTTTCAATGCACCAGGACCACACTGAGAAATTGTGTACAAACCTTCGAGAAACCACAAAATCCCAGGCCCTAGTTCCCTCTCTGACCAGAATCCTTAATAATATTGGAATTGTGAAAACTCTTTTCTTCTCATGGAGTATGGCTTTCTGACAGCCCTACTTTAACCATTTTGCCTCTCAAGAGTTAATTCCTCCCCAAATCTCAGGTCTGCATTTTAAACAAAATGGACCAATGTCAAAGGCTCTTTTTAAAAGGCCCATGAAGACTTCTTTAGCACTGAACAGGCTTTTATGAACATTTTCATTTTAATGTGAATGAGAAGTAAGTGGATTTATTTCCTCTTAAAATATAGACACAGGATTATAAAAATTAAGTGAGACAGAGTTTGGCTATTTACCTTTTGGACTTTTCTGCTCTTTGGGACAGGACTTACAAACTATAGTAGGTCTTGTTACTGAAGTTATTGGCATACCAATCTAAAAATTTGCGTCATTGAGGCTAGGTCCCATCAGGACTTCTTAGGATAGAATCTGTCCCTAAATGTAGAAAAAGAAGTTTTTTTCCTCAAAGTAAGATTCTAGTGTGCCTTTCTTGAAACTTCAGTAGTAATGCTTTTAAAACAAAGAGATTCATGAAATAAGTCACAGATATGCAAATTAGATGATAATTTCTAAAAATGAAGCTAGAAGACAACCTTAAAAGGAGCCACTAAGAAGAGGACAAAACTTGAGAGTCTCTTTATGCTTAAGAAATGTCATATCATCTCCCAAGATGGAAGTATTAGTGAATCCAATCCAAAATGCTAGCTAATCCCTGATCATTAAGCTCTGGAATTTTATTCTTGTAGAATTTGGATATTAATGTACCTGATATACTACAAGAGTATAACACACCAACTCTAAAAATGAAGGTCTAATTTGAAAAATCTACCAAAGAGGGACTGAAAAATTGTTCAGCCATTCTGTTGAATACCTCTTTTAGCCTTACTCCATGTTGGAAGACACAGAACTCCTTCCTCTCTCTGGTCTAGTGAAAGCCCCAGCTCACAAAGCATTAGTGTCTGTCTTCCTTATTTATTTCATCTATACTATCTGGGCACATCAGTTTGTAATGTTACTGAATATTCTGGTTTAAAAAGTCTTTTCCTCTCATCTATGTTAAGCCTCATGTTGCATGGGGATATGGAAGTAGAAAGAAGGGCAGAAAGATCAAGAAAGAAAGTTCCTAAAAATATAAATATGAAGTTGAATTCAAGATTTGCTTCCTATCAGATCTATTCTGCCCTTTTTGCCCTTGGATAAATGTTGACTACAACATGAGATAGCTTTAAACAATTTGACCTTGAAGAAAAGCAGGATGTTTCTGAATACACCAGTGTCTGCTGCTTGTTCCTCAACTGAAGCCAGTTAAAAAGGAGGGAGGGTAGTGAACTGAGCCAATGCTCTTATTTTTCTTATTTATATAAAAAGCAAAAAGAAAAAAGCTCAATGTTTAAGATTATTACTACTGCATCCTGTTTAAGCCACCCAATGTCTTCCAAGAGGCACTTGCTGCTCTCTGACATGTCAGCTTGGTAGACCACAAAGGTAGATAAACAGGGAACATCAGTTAGTTCCATGAGAAAAATTTTAAGGAAAAGGGTACATACCTGGCCCCTGGGGGAGACACTCACTAACCTGGGATCCAACTTCTGCAAATCTCAGGCTGTCTCTCTTATGATGCTCCTTTTCTCCACTTGTGACCTCACATTTACTTTCCCATAAGCCTTTGTGTCTACCCAGCTCCTCATCTCTGTGATTTGACTCCTGCCATGCAGCTGTGCTGCTTTAGCTTCTTCTTACTTTCCCCCCTGGAATTTTTACTTTGCCACTCCATGACCTCTATAAAAAGATTCACATGGTAAATGTCTCTTCCAGGTTGACGCTAGCAAAACATCTGTACCAACTAAAAAAAGGCATGATTTCTTTTTTAGGTGATGAGAATTTGTAAGTTTGTTTCCTCCCCCTGGAATTTTTACTTTGCCACTCCATGACCTCTATAAAAAGATTCACATGGTAAATGCCTCTTCCAGGTTGACGCTAGCAAAACATCTGTACCAACTAAAAAAAGGCATGATTTCTTTTTTAGGTGATGAGAGTTTGTAAGTTTGTTTCCTTTTTTTTTTTCTTTTACTTGACTATGAGGAAGTTCAAAGAAAATCTCTGCTCAATTATAAGCCATTCCTTCAGTATGTGTTTCCTCTCCACCTTGTCAATGACAGTTCATATTTCTCATTTATTAATGGTTCTATTGAATATATATCTTTTATTCTCACTTCCCTCAAATAATGCATTGAATGTTGGTATGTTCGTGGAAAAATACACATAAAATGAAAGATTCTCATCATGCCTATATGTTCCTTCCTTTACTCTTTGAAATATTCAAATTTCCATACTGACATAAAAAGAAATTTCCTCATTTCTTCCATTGAAAACTAACTCTGAAATAGTGAGCGTCGAGCATATTTGACCACACTCATGAGAGAAGTAAGAATGTTTGTAGAGGAACAAAAAGGTCAATGGCAAAACACAAAATGTAAATGACAGAACACTAAAATGGCATCTACAAAGTCCTAAAAAACAGCAATGCCTACCTGAGTACTTTGAGAATGTAAAGGATGACTCAAGCACTGATGTCACTAAATGAGCAATGATTCACATGGAGGATGCGTAAATGCTTGTTAAGCAATCCTAAGAAAAAACTATCTCTTGGCACTCCCTCAATTTTCCTGAGACGTAGCTATTTTGAGGAAGGGCAGGGGGGCATACACATGGAGGATGCGTAAATGCTTGTTAAGCAATCCTAAGAAAAAACTATCTCTTGGCACTCTCTCAATTTTCCTGAGACGTAGCTATTTTGAGGAAGGGCAGGGGGGCATAGAGAATCCTTGTAGGTTTTTAATAGTAGAATTTCCGGCCAAACTAAAAAATGAATGGCTGAATTTTTTAAAAGAAAGAAACAAAGGTTTCACCTTTTTATAATAAAAGTGTGGCTGGTATTGGTTCAAGAAACCAATTTACTCAACTGAGTAAATCTCTATGTGAGAACTAGAGCTTAATTATAAAAAACCCATCTTTAATATTCTACCAACTTAAATTTGGTCAACATGACTCGACAGTTGCAAATTTAAACTGTTACGATGGCCTGTTAGGAGCTGACTGAGCTAAGTCTAAGAGACTCAACCCATTAGCTATGGTTGCTGATTAATTTTACTTCACGGTAGTTTTTTTTCAAAGCCAGCCTCCTACCTGGCCAAGAGGGGAAAACCTCATAAAGGTTTCTGCTAATTGCCATGACCAAACTGATAAAAACAACTGAAGACATACAAAATTAGTTCTGGTACAGATTTGGAGGCCTAATACATGCCTGACGTGACATAAATACAAAGAGTGACTCAAAACTTGTTCTGATGGTACATTTATAGTTGGTGACACAGCTGAAATTTCTCATTCACTTGGTTCAAAGGCAGAGAAAATAAGCTAAATGGATATGAAGAGTAAAGATGATTTCTTTGCATTTGTAACTGATGTATAATTACTGTAAACTACTCATTATTGTGTGCTTGCTTTGCACCAGGCACAGTGCTAGGCACTTTTCATATACTGACGGACTTAGTCTTTAGAATAATCCAATGAAGCAGTGCTTTTATTACCCTCATTTTATAGATGAAGCAACTGAAGCACAAGAGAGGTTGAGTAATTTGCCTAAGGGCGAGCAGCTAGTAAATGACAGAGCTAGGGTTCATACTCAGGTGGTCTGGTTCCAGGGCCTGCACTCAGGGCTAAATTGTTGACAAAACCCATCCTGAATTTACACAAGGGCATCTTTCATTAAACAAAATCAGATCTATAAATGCCTGATTATCTACTGATAAATAAATAAACATACCAATAAATAAAAATAAATGAGTTCTTATGAATTATCCATAAATACCTTTCCCCATCCAGTACTTCTCACTCACATTAAAAGTAAACATCTTAACAACTTTAAAAAGATCATTTCATGTTAAGAAGGGACTTAAAAGAAGATGTTTCAGAGATGAAGAATAGGACTATGGAGAATGCAAACCAGCTTACTACTGCTATCTGCTTCTGCTGTCACCTTTCTGCGACGCAAAATCCTTTCTAACTCAGTTTCACTGTTTTCAGAGTCAAGGGATTTTAAGCTTCTTGAACTAGTGGATTTGTTAAGTGTCCCCTAAAGTGAAAACAAAACAAAAACAAAATGGTTAATGTCTTAATACAATATACAAAAGAATATAAAAATCAAACCACCAAAACATTACCAGAACTTGAATGAAATTATAAAATAAAACAAAATTTGCCAAACATATATTTTTTAATGTGCATATCTTTTCAACAATACAGAGTGCTGGATCATTTAAGAAGACGCTATCGATGATGTAGATGCTAGCTTTCATATTAGAAGAACAGTACAAGAACACTTCTTGATGAGCTAACTATATGAAATTCAGCAGTGGGAAGGTACTTACATATCGATGATTAAGATTCTGATGTGCGTTGATCGGGTGGAGAAGAGAATGGATATATTAAACTCACCTTAGAAGGATTTCTTGATACGGCAGCTATGAGCTACTAAACCCAAATCCTGTTGCACAGAAAAATGTGTGGCTGATTCTTCAGAGAGGGTGACCCTGGTTGCACACTTGATGACAATGTTGCCCTAGCTGCCAAAGGAGGCACATGGTGCTCTCCAGTGGCCTGCCCAAAGAAGGGCTGTACTGAGCACACCTTGACTTCAGTGTGGAAGAGGAAAGTTATAATCATACAGGGAGGCAAGCAAGGGTTGGGCAACTTAATTACACCTTCCTAACAGAGGAGATAGTGAATGCATTATTCAGGGCCCAGAAGACACTGAAGGAACAAGAGATGCCATAAAGCTGTACTCCTACTGAAACTGATACTGGCTTTCAAGAAGACAGAGAGAGACCCCTGCAGTGATTCCTTCCCTGGCTCCTCTAGGAAGTATGTTATGGAGGGAGAGCTGTGGTTTTCCATCTGCATTAGTAGTAAAGTGTTTGTACAGAACACTGGGTGATGTACTTTCTCTCAATTATATGTAAGGATTCAGCACTTCAACATTACAGAGACTTTCATAAGAAATGCCCACTATTTCTTTGAAATGGTCCTCCTCAACTGTGCCATAGGTTTCTGGGAGAAAAAAGCTTGGAGAACCATAATCTCTTGATCAGAGGAAAAAAGAACCTCAAGTCTGGAATAACTTGCCAGACATAATACCACAGTCAGGAGACAGCTTTTGTCCACCAAGACTAATAACCATGCCAGCCTTTGTAATGGTTGAACTCACTAACGGCTTGCTTTAATCCTGCTGCCTCCCCACTGCCATCTTCCTGAAGGATTCTAAGAATTCTAGAATTCTATTGGCTAAAAATGGCAACCCTTTTGTCTTCTTTAGCCTATAGAACAAGAAAAGCCGCTTGTAAAATCAGATGGTTACAAATCTCACATGATATAGGTTATCATGTTGTTTAGCTTATAAAGTGTTTTTTTCCCCAACTGCTTAAAGTTAGAGAAAAGCAGCCTGTTGTGATGGAGAAACTGACTAACAAGATCAGGAGATTACATTATTTTGCTTCAACTGTCTAACCAACTGATGTGCAAAATACTTAGATAAGGTTCATATTTTAATCTGGCATAGGATACTTCCCCCCCTGGAAAACTGCTTGTCATTTATTGCACAATTCATAAAACATAATAAAAGAAAAATCATATCACGTGTAACACTATTAATAGTTTATTTTACAATTAAAAAATGAGATGATTTGGCTTATTTATTTAACATTGCAGAACCTGTATCTACTCAAACAGTCATACAGTAACGTATGACTGACACTGACAAGGTAAAGAAAATAGAACTACAGCCACTTTCGATAAATTAAAAAAATGTACCAGAGTAACTATTCCTGGAGTTAATTCAAAGAAAGTGTGTGTGTGTGTGTGTGTGTATGTGAGTATACATATACACTACATACATACCTTCCAAGGATATCTTTGATGAATTTATCTTTCACAATATTCCCTAGGTTTTCATTTGAATAACAGCATTAATTCCTAAAATTCCTGACTGTAGTAAGCTACTCTCTTGTCATACCTGATACTGAAGGAATTCGTTTTCCAAATTCTAACCCTTAAATCCCAAACTTTTTTATCCATTTACTAACTGATGTGGCTGATTCCGCTAATATATGAGTAAACTTTAAATACAGAGGCAATTATGGAGGAAAGAAAGGTTTCTATATCACTCTCAACTGAAATGATGAAGAGCTCAGCTATGATAAAGTACCAAAATTATCCTATTTATTTATATGACAGTCACAGAATTTGAGAATCAGAAATTAACTTAGAAACCATGTAGCACGTATAATTCCTTTCCTTTACAGATGAGAAAATTCAAACTCAGTGAGTCTCAAGGTTTGGGCCAGGTACCAGAATAGGTGAGTGATAGAGTTGGATCTAGAATTTAGATCTTTTAAAACTCAAACCAGTATTCTTTTCCTACTTCAAACTGCTGTGATTATTTAACAATCTTAGTCCCCACACCCATTAAATGTTCATAATACTATTGTCAGGTGGCAAAATTAACTATTTAACAATTTCTGGTAACTTCTGAAAAACTGAAGATGTTTGAAAACGATCTGTAAGAGAATTTTTTGAAACCCGCTTTTGTTTCTTTGATTTAGAGTCAACTGAACTCACTTAAAACTAGACTTTTAGATTTGCATTGATTTATTCTTCAGAAATTACCATTGCCACTTAGAGTGGCTTTTAAATGACGGGGTGATTCAAGAGGTTTTATTTCCTAAACCACAAAACCTTTGTGTGACTATGAGAAATGAACTATATATACATTATCTACAAAATGTATAGCTTTAAAAATTAAGTAGAAGTAGCCGGCCCGGTGGCGTACTGCTACAGTGCGCCACTTGGGAAGCGCGGTGGCGCTCCTGCCGAGGGTTCGGATCCCACATACAGACCGGTTCCCGCTCACTGGCTGAGCGAGGTGTGGGAGCAACACCGAGGGTTGCGATCCCGTTGCCGGTCCCGGTCCGGGCGCAACACTGAGGGTTGCGATCCATTGCCGGACACAAAAAAAGACAAAAAGGAAAAAAAAAAAAATTAAGTAGAAGTAGGTTTAGAAAAATGAGCTCCATCAACACAGACTTTTGAAATTGGCTTGAAAATTGTTCGACTCAAAAAATAGAGTGGGGTTTTCCAACTTCCCCAAATCAGAGATTTGTTTCCTACTAACTCTCAGCACTCTCAAAAGTAGGCCAAATCTCTTAAGTCTTACAATTTGGGTCACATTCCATTTCAACAAAAATACCCCACACAGAGCCTCTTCCTGGTTTCTGCTCTACAACAGAACCAAACATGGTGTTTCTTAGTTTCTTGATGTGTCTTGGTGCAGGTGCTCACTTTCCACCTCAGTACACAATAGCAGGCTTTTCATGTTCTTTCATATTTGTGTCTCACATGCCATGACTGTGAGGTTGGAATCCTGTGCTTTACTGGATACCAACTTAGATAATCTTAATAGTCTGAAACTTCAACAAGAAGCACCAATAAAGACCCATCTGTTTGGCAGGTTGAGCCAGGGGCTTGCTTTCCCACTCTCCTCCAAGAATGTATATGGTTTCTTGGCCCCGGGAGGCAGGAAGTTACAAATGGTCCATCATTCCTCAAAAAAACTTCCATGGGGGTAGAGAAGAGTCACCATTTGGCAAAGAAGAGTAGGGGAGAGGGTCATAAGTTCCACTAAAAAAAAAAAATTTTTAAAAAAAAAAAAAAAAAAAAAAAAAGATAAAACGAAATTAGTAACATAAAGAGACTCATTTTATTCTCTAATTTATCATCAAATAGTTGTTTCAACTGTGAGAAAAAGCAGACTGTGACCCTGATACCAACATATTTGAGCAGGAGCTCAGATTTACACTTAGGTCTCAAGAATTCCACTTTCGTGCCTCAAAGTAAAGCACTATCCACGTAAAGCACTACCCACATAAAGCACTATCCATCTATTACATTTCTGATATTCACAAACATGTACTGGTCCTTACATATGGCCAGACACTTGATCTTCAAGCTGTAATGCAAGGATTGGAAGGCAAGAACAGGCAACAATGACTTTAGTGAAAGTGTAACCACTCTTTTAGAATAGAAACAGCAAAGTGTTATTTGATATATTATTAACACCTGTAACAGAGGAATCCATAAATACAATCAAGTAAACTGTCAAAAGAAATGAGGCTAATTGTAAATGGAAATAAAACATACCAAAAACAATCATTCACAAAAACCAGATTTTAAAAATATTCTCTTTTCATTTCGCCATTAACTAAACAATAAACCACGATCTATTCTTACCAGTATTCCTTTTAGTTCATTCACTGCACTTTCAGAGCCTTTTGAAGATTCTGGCTACAATTTTAAAAAGAAAAAAAAAAATTACTGAGTAATTCAGGTTTAAAATACTAAACAAAGAGTTTTACATGGCAAAGTGTTCGTAGCTTGTACTGGTGATATGTATGACTACACATATTTTTGAGTAGGTCTATGTCTTAAGGTTAGGAAAAATATTAGCCATGTTAGTTCTCCCAAACGGCAGTTAAATAGAAAATCAGAAGTTACATTCAAAGCAAAAGGACTCAAGCCACCATCTTCTAAATATCATCTTGTTACCTCCTGGTTATCATCATAGGTAGAATAGATTTGCTAAACACCAGACTTCAAAGACTTGATTCCAAATTATTCAAAACTTTTTACAACAAACTCTTCTACACTAGCATTGCTGGACTTCTGCCAGAAAGCGAGGACTAGGAGGAGGCAGTGCAGAGCAGAAAGCAAGCTACAGGACAGAAAACCTCTCTCAGCTCCATTAATTCCAGGCAAAGGCCAGCTTACAGAGGACTGGCATGTCTTTTTTTTTTTTTTTTTTTTATAAATTTTACAACTGAGTTAGGAGAGCAGGGACCAGCAAAGAATCTGGCTTATAGGAGAATGTTAGCATCACTGGCTGCCAGAGCACTAAAGAACCTCAGAGGGGGTATAGTGCAATCACTTCATCTTACGAGGAAAGTAAGGCTTGAGGAAGGTAGCATTTGAGTTAAGTGTCTTGATTACAAGCCTAGTTCTCTTCTGGCCACACCATGAACAAAATAATCTGAATGAAATTCTGGGTAATATTTGCTTGCCCTGTAATACCTAACAGTCTCTGCAGATCCCTCAACAAATTTAAGAGTCTCGAGCTCTACCGACTGAGCTAGCTGGGAGTCTCTCCTCAAGTAATTTAATGGGGAAAAAACTTAGCATGAAACCCTTATGAAAAAGAAGCTCAGGAAAGACCTCCAATCTCCCCTGTACCTCTTCCTTTCACAGAGGATAGAGAAGAAGAGAAAACTTGCAAGATATAGTGAAAGGAACCCCTCTAGCCTCTCATTCCTGGAAAAGAGGTAAGGCTATATTCTCTCTCATCAAGAAGTGGGAGGTGATCTATAATCCTTTCCTCTCAAAAGACAGTAAAAGATCCTATTTCAATTTTTAAAAATGGAGACAGAGAAAGAGAAGGAGAAGAGAGAGAGAGAGAGGTTTGCTGCTCATGTACAAATCTTACTGAGGCATTCAACTTTCAGAGCTCAGATTTTCTGTGAAATATACATCATGCCCACATTGCCAGTCATAAGCTTTAATACACTAATTTCAATCATGCTGGCACCACCAACATCATCAGGGAATTTAGGATATGTGCAGTTAAATTACTGTTCTCAAGGCAGGCTTGACTTCTGCAGGTAAACTCAGCAGGTGACAAGCTGTGACTTTTGAACAAATGCCCTACCTAAAGGCATACTCAAAAGTGCCGCCATGCCACTCAAGCTGCCTTGGGCTTGTGTAAGTTTTTTGAAGCCTGGACCGCATACTCTCATAACATGATGTTTCAGGAAAACACTCATGATTCTGAGGGAAGAAGTCTGTACTCAAGCATGCAGCGACCACTTGTTTTAAAGGTTATTGACCAGGTCATTCAGCACTACATCTACACAGTTTGATGATTACCAGTAAAAAACCCAGTCGTCCACTCATCCTTGTTCAGTTGTTTTCCAGATTTTGAATTGACATTAAGTAATGTATAACTGTTAAGTCACAGGAAGAAAGAAAAAGCACAAAGTGATATTCTGAAGATGAAAATACATTCGGAACATTGATTGCTTAGGATTTAAGAAGTTTTCAACGTTTTTCTCTCTAAACTAATTTTGTTTCTTTAGACACTGCATTTTTCTCTAGCAATAGTTTGACTTTGCTTATTCTTCCCTTAATAGTTGTGACACGGAAGTCATAAAAATGTATTCTTTTCAAAGGTAGCAATCAGACCACAAATTTTCAAGTGTTTTCACACTTCATTCCATTTGATCCTGACAACAACCCTGTAAGTCACATAGGGCAGGTGCTATCTCCATTTTTAAAAGAAAAGGGCACAGTGAAGCTGGGTGGTACCACCAGGGCCCCCACTCTACCAGCACTGTTCTTCACTCACTTTCACTCACTTACCAGACACCAGCACTGAAATGGCTGTGCCAGATCATGCTATACTCAGCTTCTCTTCCAGTTTTATGTCCTGTCCTTTACTCAGAAAACTGCTTTCAGAACATTGGCACAAGGGCCGGCCCGTGGCTCACTCGGGAGAGTGTGGTGCTGATAACACCAAGGCCATGGGTTTGGATCCTCCATAGGGATGACCGGTTCGCTCACTGGCTGAGCGTGGTGCTGACAACACCAAGCCAAGAGTTAAGATCCCTTACAGGTCATCTTTAAAAAAAAAAAAAAGAACATTGGCACAAGACTGAAATACTTTACATGGCCAGGCGCCACTTGTTTCACTAGATGTAAATCTACTCTTGGAGTTGAGTACTCTTTCCCTCTCTCCAACCCCCTTTCTAGGTACAGCCCACACCAGGGCCACTCTGCCTTGCCTGGCTATCTTGCCTGCCTGCAAAAAAGTGACGACTTTAAAAGCCCACTGGAATTTACACTGAACAGTCACGATACTGGGGGACATCCAAGAAGGTGAAGAGGGGCATCCTCGGGAGGAAAAAAGAACCAAACCACAAAGATTGGTGAAAAAGAAAGAAGGTGAAGAGAACCATTCTGTTCATACCTAATTAGAGTGAGGAAAGTGAGGGTTAGTTTTAGGTGTCAACTTGGTTACATGAGGGAATGCTGAGAAACCTGGAAATGTATCTTTTTAAGTGTGTCCATGAGGGTGTTTCCAGCAGAAATTATTATGACAGCCTGAGTGGACTGGGTGGGAAAGACCCACCCTCAATGTGGGTGGGAACCATCCAATCTGCTGGGGATCCAGAGAGAACAAAAGACAGAGGAAAAAGGTAAAGCTCTCTCTCTACCCACTGGAGCTAGGATACTCTCTTTTCTCCTGTCTGTGGACATCAGAGCTCAAGACTCGTCAGCTTTTGGGTTCTAGCATTTACACCAAGGACACCATCAGCTTCCCTGGTTTTGAGGCCTTTGGACTTGGACTGAGCCATACTACCAGCATCCAGTTTACAGACAGCCTGTCGTGGGACTTTTCCTCACAATCATGTGAGTAATCCCCTAATAAATCCCTCTCATATATGTATAACATATCCTATCGATTCTGTCTCTCTGGAGAACCCTGACTAATACAGAAAGAAAAAGCATTTTTCAAAAAAAAAGTAAAAAACTATTATTGGGCTTATTTAAATGTCATAGACACACAAAGGGAGGGAAGAAATAATGAACTAGACTCAAAGTGCCTCTAATACCAGAGTGCTCACTGTAGTTTAGTTTAGCAGACAGTTGATGATGTCTACATAAATATATACACACACACACACACACACAAAATATTCTCCTTGAAGTGACCTGGAATATGTACATGAAATTAATGAAAAGCAATCATATACACCTCGTTATTTTCCAAAGATAGTTTTAGTTCTGTTCTGCCATTATTATGTGACTCCCTCCACTAAAATAGAAGCCTCAGGAAGACAAGGATTTTTGTCTGGTTTTTTTTTTTTTTTTTAGGTAACTGGTAAGGGTATCTTAACCCTTGACTTGGTGGTGTCAGCACCACGCTCTCCCAAGTGAGCTAACCAGCCATCCCTATACAGGGATCCTAACCCATGGCCTTGGTGTTAAAAGCACCACACTCTCCCAAGTGAGCCACGGGCCAGCCCTTGTTGTCTGTTTTGTTTACTGCTTTATCCTCAATGCCTATAACGGTATCTGGCACATAGTAGGTACTCAACAGAATCACAAAAGAATCAGAAACCAAAGAAAACAAAGGGTGTAACAACTGTTATTTGTCTGATATAACAGTTCGTATCAATGAATTCTGTCAAAGAGTTGTCTCTCAGAGAAATGACAGCACCCTGCAACAACACAGGTTACCTTCTATACTGATTTAGGTTCATGATGGGTCAGAGTCCTCCCAAAACATGCTTATATGGAAGCAAAAGGTTTTACGACACGTTAGCCTTATCCTAAGATTTGACAGTCAAATTTTACTCTGCTTACAAAGCACTTATTACAAAGCTACTTTGATATAACTTTCATCAAATTTCAAACTTTTATATTTAAAAAAGGAAATATCAAGGGAAAGTGGGAAGCATTTAAGTTACTCCATACCTTTGCCTTCGGTCTGGCTGTCTGATTAACTGGTCTAAGATGAACTCCCTTTTTAATTCTATCCATCATCTCTTCGACTGCTTGCCTCTTTAGATCTGTGACTTCTTCAGCTGTTCAAAGAACACATACATAAATCATCTTATGCCACAAGAAAACAGCTACTTCCTATTTTTGTTCACTTAGAAAGACTGCACTATATAATTAACCAGAGTCATTTTTCAGATAGTCTCAGAACACCAATAATTTACTAAGGTTAACATCTATCAGGTAGCAACATTTTAAAAAGAAAATAAAAGATCTTTTCATAAAAATATGTTATAAAAATTAAGGTCAAATTTGTAGAATGGAAGTCAATATTGTCCCATCTATGTTAAACAAACTAGATTTTGTGCCTATGCCAACATAATAATAGATTTGAATCTCTCTGGGTCTATAAAAACCCAACTTTGTATCTACTCTCAAATAATCATTTATCTTTTCCTCAAAGATGTTTTTATAACTTATGGTACATCTATGTCAAAGAAATCAGCCCACAGAAAGAATAACTACCAAAAGCCCATTTGAAAAAAAAATCAAAGAGATGTTTTCCTTGTTGGAAGAAATCCATAGTCAAAACACTAGCAGCAAATTGGTAAAATCTATTTTTAAATTGCCATCTTTTGTTTAGGAATCACATGGAAAGGAAATATTTAAGCAAACTTTTTTCATGTCTTTTAAAATTGTCAGTGTTAAATGAAAACATGCACCTAGCAATAATTGTAATTAAGTAATTAAATTTGATAAAAATTTAAACTCTCTATTGTCTAACCTTTGCATTATTTTGTTGTTAAAAAAAAGAAAAAAAAAACCCACCAAACTTGTTGAGATGTGTATCAGTTAGATGAATGCAACTGAGGCGAACTTAAACCTGTTGATCAGAATCGTTGGAACCTGTTACTCTTGCAGAATAGCTTGACCAAAAGCACAGAATCATTTTGGAACATTTATCACCACTAACACTGTTCTTGATCTTGTGTTTAACCTCCATCTAACTCACTCTAGCTAATATATTTAAATTTAAATATCTCATAAGGACCTTCCAATTAGCTTGTTTAATAGACTCCACATTGCCTGGCATATGGTAGGCAATCAACAAGCACCTACCAACTGACTTTTGGCTTTAAGTGGTTATCAATATTTTTACCATTTGAGTGGAAATGACTAAACCCCAAAAGCTGGCTTCTAAATGGAGGCAATCACAACTATATCCCCAAGATAATTAGCGCTAGTGTTAGGCTTTGCACTAAGGAGGCCTAAATCATGGCTTCTTTTTCTCCTACATGGCCAGACTTCACTCTAACCCTGGGTAGCCATTCCTCTTATATAAGTGCCTGGGGGAGCAACTAAGAGAGTCCAGAAATTTTCATTATCCTCACCTCTACAGCACCACAATGATGGGATCACTGCTACATTCACTGTTATAACCTAAATTTTCTTATATGTCCTGAATTCAAATAGAGTTCTGTCATCCTCAGAAGCCAACGAAATGCTGGGAATTAAAATTTCTCAAAATCCAAACAACATTTTTCACATTCAGCAGTCCAAAAGTGTCTTTTGCCAGGCAGCATGGAAAAACATGGTCACCAAAGTTAGAACTCATTCACCAGTAAGTGAAAGATGATAAAACTGTGGGTTGATTGTATGCCCTTAAGTAGCATTTTCTTAGGCAGCTTTTTCTGATGACTCACAAACATCAATGAAGGAACAGACAAGTAAATTACTATGGATAGAAATTCATTCATTCTTTCATTCACTCACTTATTCAATATCTGAATATCTATTGTGCACTCCACAGTACTTCTGCTGACCCTATTCAAAATCAGGGGAGAGAAAAATCGAGATCTGCCATTCAAGCATCTGGTACAGGTTTGGGATTTACTCCTGTAAATTTAGAAAATACCTTCAATAAACATTTGATTTTTCAGAGATGCTGACATTTTGAGTGAGACTAGGAAGAGCTGCATGGCAATAGGAATACCGCCTACAAACAGATTAGCACTCTGTAAAGAATGACTGAAACCCAATTAAATGCACCACACAAAAACTAATTAAGGCAGACAGATGGAGAATTATGGTCAACACCATTCAAATCTGCTACAGCATCTAACATAGCAGGAATTTAAAGTAGTCTCTTATATTTGTTTGCCAGAATCATAGTGATAATTCAGAGAAGTGCCACTATCTGTATTGTATACAGATTATAAACCAGGCTTTAATTTCTCAGTCTTTTTCAAATGTATAAGCTTAATTGGTCTTAAGGAAAAGAAATCACTCTTATCAGATTCCCTACTCAGGTGCAATACAAGGGCAACGCTGGGTTAGCTACACAAGCTTTCTCTCTAGCCGACCCTGTTTTTGAACTAGCAAAAAGCAATCTATACGAACTTCTAAACTATTAAGCAGTTCTAATAAATCTCTAAGAATCACCTACCGAGAGCTCATGGTATGTTTTGTAATTCTTTCTGCAATCATGCAGTTGGTAATTGTCTCACAAAAGCATGTAATCAGGGGGACAATAGAAATATGCAGGATACTGAAGACTAAAGAAAAGGGACAAATGAAGACAACAGGTCTAATGTTATTGAACTGCCACAGGAAAATAAAATCAAATGTTCTTTGAGTTAGTGCTTCAAGGTCAGTCTTGGATCAGAAAGCTACATGTAATTAATTGGGGCTTAAATTTTAAGACCCACTTGAAAAATAAGTTAGTTACACACACACAAACCCCCCCCCCAAAGACCCAAAGACGAAAACATCACCTCGTTACTCAATAAAAACTTCTGTTATTACCTAGAAGAAACTAAAATGAATTTCTAAATTCCACTTCTCTTTCATTAACTTTTTTTAAAAGGACTTTAAAAAAATTTTATGCCACCATCATGAACAAAATTTCTAAAAGAATACATTATGGTTGAATAAGTTTAAATTGTACTTAAGATCATAAAGTTAAGGAAATTTCCTTAACTATAATAATCACAAGAACCTGTGAATGAGAACTCCCTTTGTCCCTCCCAAATGGGTGGCTGGTACTTTTTCTACTTTTTTAACTAACATTTTGAGTATTTTCTATGTGCTGGTACTATTCTAAACACTGTTCATATTGAGAGACTCATTCATTCTCAACAACCCTATGAAATAGGAACTACTGTTATCCCTGTTCTACAGATTAGCAAACTGGGGCACAGAGAAGTAAGAAGAAAATATGAACAAGCAAATGATAAACAGCAGGCATAACTTTTAAATCTCAGAACTGGCCCAATAAATATGTTTTTGTCAAAATTAGAGTTACTAACTTCAAAGTTTGCAATGATTTCTTATATTTGGATCTTAAACTACATCTAAATATCTAAATAATAATATCTAAAATATTCCACAGACCTTCCTTATAATCAATCTTTTTAAGAGCCATAACCTAGGAATATGTTTTCCTACTCAAACTCTGAAAACCTTACCAACTACTGTATATGTTAATAGCCATCATAAAATGCTGACATAAGGAAGAAAACAGTAAAAGGAGACCATCATAAAATGCTGACATAAGGAAGAAAACAGTAAAAGGAGACCAGTCCCTAGGATATAAATGCAAACTCCAAAGTCATAGACGATCCCAGTGTTTGATGCTCTATGTTCATTCATCATGCATTTAATCTACAAACTGAGGCACAGAGAAGTAAGAAGAAAATATGAACAAACAAATGATAAACAGCAGGCATAACTTTTAAATCTCAGAACTGGCCCAATAAATATGTTTTTATCAAAATTAGAGTTACTAACTTCAAAGTTTGCAATGATTTCTTATATTTGGATCTTAAACTACATCTAAATATCTAAATAATAATGTCTAAAATATTCCACAGACCTTCCTTATAATCAATCTTTTTAAGAGCCATAACCTAGGAATATGTTTTCCTACTCAAACTCTGAAAACCTTACCAACTACTGTATATGTTAATAGCCATCATAAAATGCTGACATAAGGAAGAAAACAGTAAAAGGAGACCAGTCCCTAGGATATAAATGCAAATTCCAAAGTCATAGACGATCCCAGTGTTTGATGCTCTATGTTCATTCATCATGCATTTAATCTTTGCTGATTTATTCATTCAATAACTATTTTTTTAGTGTGAACTATTAACAAGGCACTATAAATGATTACCTTTCCAGACGGAGAGAGGGTGCTGCTCCAGACATGTATGGTTATGCAACGTATCATTTAAGGCTGTATGATTTTTAGAGTAGCTCCAATAACAATCCAATAGCCCAAGAATGTGGCAAAAATTATTGTCACATTTCATGAATTGTAAGTAAAACATTTTTGAAAGGAAAACTGTATGGCTCCTAACACTGGGTCTTAAAAAGTTTTAGGATACTTTTTTTAAATTAAGAGTATCGTTGAGGTTGACAAACTGATGATGTAATCTACTTAGAAGGAAAATCATTTTATTCTGTCTTTTTAACCATATAAGATACACCAATTGTCCCAAAAAAGGATTGAAACAAAATTTAAATTACAGTATCAAGAAAAGCTAATAGTCAGTAACCCAGGAACAAGACTACCCTGTAAATCACCAAAGGCAGGACTGCTTCAGAATCCTGCAATGCCTTGCGCAAAGCAGAATTTGCCTTTCAGCCCCATTAATGTGCAGAAGAATAGATTCCAAAGGGCTGCAGGAGACAGGCACAGAAAGCCAATTCGCAGAAATGAAATCAGCTTTTGTTTGTAATAGTGCTGCAAGGTTCCTGATAAGAAAGAAAAGACTAAGTCCAAACTTCAATTCATTCAAAATGCATGAGAGCTATGGGAGGCCACAGAGAAGAGTAAACCCTTAAAGAGCTTATAATCTGCTCAGGGGGAGAGATGTGGAAATAACTCAAAACCAGAGCCCAGAGTAGAAGCTGGAAATTGGACATTAAATACTTAAGTAACAGAATTTAAAGTAAAATGCTATAGCAACACATTGTAATGAGCCACTCATTTAAATTATTAATACTAATACTAATAAATAGGAGAAGGATGAAAAGGAAGAGCCTGGAACACACAAGCAATCTGCCTGGAACCTGCATGGAGGACATGGAATGACAGCAGCACTTAACCATATAAGATACACCAACTGTCCCAAAAAAGGATTGAAACAAAATTTAAATTACAGTGTCAAGAAAAGCTAATAGTCAGTAACCCAGGAACAAGACTACCCTGTAAATCACCAAAGGCAGGACTGCTTCAGAATCCTGCAATGCCTTGCGCAAAGCAGAATTTGCCTTTCAGCCCCATTAATGTGCAGAAGAATAGATTCCAAAGGGCTGCAGGAGACAGGCACAGAAAGCCAATTCGCAGAAATGAAATCAGCTTTTGTTTGTAATAGTGCTGCAAGGTTCCTGATAAGAAAGAAAAGACTAAGTCCAAACTTCAATTCATTCAAAATGCATGAGAGCTATGGGAGGCCACAGAGAAGAGTAAACCCTTAAAGAGCTTATAATCTGCTCAGGGGGAGAGATGTGGAAATAACTCAAAACCAGAGCCCAGAGTAGAAGCTGGAAATTGGACATTAAATACTTAAGTAACAGAATTTAAAGTAAAATGCTATAGCAACACATTGTAATGAGCCACTCATTTAAATTATTAATACTAATACTAATAAATAGGAGAAGGATGAAAAGGAAGAGCCTGGAACACACAAGCAATCTGCCTGGAACCTGCATGGAGGACATGGAATGACAGCAGCATCTCACCTGAGAAGCCTTTGACAATAGGAAGGACAAGAGCAAATATATAGCTGCCTTAGAGGTAATGGTTCAGCCATAAAGTGGGAAAACAGAACGTGAAATGAGGCTGAAGTAAAATCAGAGAACCATCTACAAGCAGACTATAGAGTGTGGATTCTATTCTGGTGCAGTGAGAAGCACAGCAATGTCTTAAGATGCAGAAGAACACAGTTAGACCTGTGATCTGAGAACATCACACTGCCAATGGTAAAGAAAATGGCTTGAACTGGAGCAAGAAAAGGGGCCAGAAGCAGCTTACACCAATCTGGGCTTGAATCAGTCAAGTTCACTGTTCTTTGTAACTAATAGGTATTGAGCAAACATTGTTGAGTTGAATAAAGGACCAAGAGGTGGCCCCAGCATCTCAAGCCTCTGCTCTGACTGTGGCTATACACTAAACTGGTGACAGCTCTGTGAACCAACTCTGCACCCAGGCAGCTGGTGCCTCTGCTCAACGGGAGGCCCTTTTCCCTCCATTCCCATCTCTTCCTATCTTTCATACCACCATCTCCAATGAATCAGAATCCTGAATTTTATTTCCCTGAACAGTTCCTGATTTCATGCATGTCTTCCTATCGCAACTGCTAACACCCTTGCCTAAGCCAGCATCAACATTCATCTGAATGACTACAATGGTCTTCCCTCATCCACTCATCCCTGTACAGTCTGTTCTCTCACTGCAGCCAGTGATTTTTTAAAAAAGTCAAATATCATCATGTTACACCCCTATGTGAAACTTCTACTGCTCTGAGGAGAAACTCCAAAATTTCGACCACAGCCTCCAGAATCTGGCTCCTGCCTACCGCCCATCAGCACTCCTCTCTTGCACCCCATGCTTTAGCCATATCAACCTTCTTTCCATTTCTTACTATGCTAGGCTCCTTCCCCACTTTGTACTTTCGAATCTGCTACTCCTCTATCTGAACTTTTACCCTAAAACCCCCATCCCAACATCCTAAATGCACTACTCAGCTGGAACATCACTGCCTGACACCAGCAGTTCACCTCCATAATCTCTTAGAACCTTGTACACCTGTTCCACAGTACTTTTCAAAAATTGTATTTAAATAATTATATATTTACTTAGATAGTCACTTGCTTACCTCATGTCTAGTTACACTAGAATGCAACTTCTCTATCTTGTATCTCCAGTACACAACACAGGAGTAGTAAGTACATGGTAGGTATTTGATAAAAGTCTCAGCTCACCTGTTACCAACTCTAAGAAGTCTTTCCCCAAATCCCTCATTTGGAATTACTCCCTGTCTTTCCTTTACACACCAAAGTACCTTGTCTCTTAATGAAAACGTATTTCCTAGTACATCTCTCACTACCATGCTTATCTACTCTAGACAATCAACTACAGAAAGGCAATAACAATTCTCTGGTTCATTCTTAGAGCTGTTAAGTTCCTCACACTTCCCTTGTAACAATCTGTTCCATCCAAAAACTCAACAAATATGTGAACTGTTGAAAAATTGTACACCATCAACCACTTAAAGTAAACCAAATGGAAGTGATGCTTACTTGTTTCTGGTTGAGTTGGCTTTTCTTTCTTAGCACCACTGCCACTGGGGTGGGATCGCTTCCGAATCATGGACATAAGGGATCTTTGGGAGAAAGAAAAAGATCAATAGGAGATTACCAGGTGCTTTATGATACCACAAATAAAATGTATACATTCTAAATAATCACTAAAAATCCAACTCTTCTGGAGGTGCATGAACATGTAAGTAGATTTAAGCAGACTACTTTCCATTTTTAATAATATTAAACTTTCCATCTCTTTATAGGAAAGAAATGTCTCATCCCTTTGTGTGTAAAGCTGCTATAATTACTACTGCAATGCATACACATTGACAAGGAAATTAGATTCAGAAAATACATAAACTTTGTAAACAACAATCTATGATAATACATTTGAGGGAGAGAGAAGGATGGAAGAATTAGGAAATGCTTCATATAAAAAAGTGTTGTATGTTATCAGTAGATATCTACTTGTGAAATACGGGCATTTAAAAGAACTGAATCTGCATGATATAGACCAAATACTTAGGAATGAAATATATTTAGATCACTGTCACTCTAGTCCATGTTTTTAAAATCTACATAAAATCTGAATTATGATAAATGTGACCACATTAAAATTTTAAGACCTCCATAAAGTAAAACACTATACAAAATAAAAAGACAAGTTACAGACTATATAAAGAAATTCTACAAATCAATGAGAAAAAGCAGACAACCCAACATAAATATGCACAAAAACCTTGAAATTCCATAAAAAAGATGTCCAAATTTCCAACACACGTAAAAAAGGTGTCTGACTTCATTAGTTATTAGTAAAACACAAATTAAACCCATACCAAGAAATCACTAACACTCATCTAACAGACAAAAAATTTTAAAGTCTGAAAATTTAAGTGCTGGCAGGTTTGTGGAGCAAATGAAATTCTCAAACTGAGGAGGGTATATAAATTTATAGTACCATTTTAGAAGACTGTTTGGCATTATCTAGCAGAGCTGAAGTTACACATATCCTATGAGCCAGTGATCCCAGTGCTATATGTCTCACAGAAACGCAAGCATTTGTGCACCAGGATACACGTACAAGATTGTTCATGTAGAATTTCCATAGTTTCCCTGAATAACTCAAATGTCTATCAGCACCACAATGGAAAAGTACATTTTGGGACATTCATAAAGTAGATCATACATTGATGAATATGAACGAACTTCAGCCATACAAAATAACATACATGAATCTTACAAAATAATGTAGAGTAAAAAAGGCCAGACAAAATGAGTACAGGAATATTACAATTATATAAAGTTCGAAAACAAGCCATATACATATTTATAGTAGTTTAGGAATACATATGTACGTAGGAAAATGTTTCCTTAAAATAGGCAAGGAAATGATTACCATAATACCATAATAGTCAGGATAGTGATTAGGAGGGAGGAGTTATGTTTGGGAAAGGACAGAAGGAAAGGATTCTAACGCTGTTCTATTTCTTGATTTGGATGGTGATTACATGGATATTTACTTTATGTTATTTTAAGACTATGCATAAGTTTGTGTACATTTCTGTATATATGTCAACATTTCCCCCATAAAAGGTTTACGAGAAAGCAAATGAATCAAAAAAATTTGAATTCTTTTTACTATATTATAAATGTCCTCAGTGTGGTGAACTGTATTTGACAAAATACAGTCCTGATGAATATGAGCTGGGAAGCTAGCAATGGAAAACACATACTTGGAGGATAGGAAAGGCATACTGCTGCCCTTTGAAAAAGAGAAAAATGGATATATGGACATAACAGCCCAATGTATCTTAGGCACTATAATTTTAGATCTTTTTACTTTTTGTTTTTACCTTTAGTTATATTATTAATCCCCTTTCTACCTGCCTTTTCTTAAGATTCCCAGACACACTGGACAATCTTCCACAATGCACAGTAAAAAGAAACAATCACATCCTGCTCTACCCTGTGAAGTTCCCAGGCCTTACCACTTGGGAAATAATCAATCACGGAGCTTTTGACTTCGTCTAGTTTTTATCTTCCTTGGGCTCATAACAACCCAAAAGGGAATTAAATTATTTCCAGAAAAGTTAGAAATTCTAATTTACACAGAACTTTGAAATAAGCACATTTAATTCCAGAAGTTATATGGAATAAAATAATGTAAACTTTATTATTTAAAATAATATAACTGAATGCCAGAAATATTCAATTATCTATTTGTTACCATTCTGGGGGAGGGTGGGCTTGGGAAGGGTTCTCACTAATCAGAGGCCTCTCTTTACTCTCTCACCACATTCTGTAATGATCCTACCTCTGGTTCTGGAGGAAATTTTGAGAGTATGCATTATAGTACATAAAGGTGATGAAGCAGGAATTTATTGTACTTCTCAGTGTATCTGTACAGTCATGAACCACCTAACAACGTCTCAACCAACCATGGACCATATGAACAAAGGTGGTACAGAATAGGCTATCCAATATAGCCTGGGTATTTAGTAGGCTATAACATCCAGGTTTGTGGAAATATACTGTATGATGACCACACGATGACGAAATTGCTTAACGATGCATTTCTCAGAACATATCCTTGTCACTAAGCAACGTGACTGTATATATTTACATATGTGAAGTAAGGATATATGTTCATCATTATAAACCCCCTAAGTGGATGACAGAAAGTGTTAGCTCAAAGTGTTGAGTTGAAGCATAAGTTGGAGACATATGGTGCCCAGAGGAAAATCATTTGTAATATTAAGAACCAACTGTCAAGATGGGGCTTTGACTATGGAGAAAATAGATATGGTAGGAGTCACAGGACAGATGAGAAGACTAGGACAAGACACCTGGAACCAATAACTGAAAAGTCTGGCTATCACTGCCCATTTCACCACTACTTCAACTGAATAGATTTGCTTCAAGCAAGTGTCACCCCAAGACGGAGCAATTCAGTGGAGAATTTTCACCCCGAAGTTCTTTAAGAAGTATTCTTCATGCCCACTGTGATAACTATTTTGTGCGTCCACTTGACTGGGTTGTGGGGTGCACAAATATTTGGTTAAACATTATTCTGGGTGTTTCTGTGAGGGTGTTTCGGATGAGATTAACATTTAAATCAGGAGACTCAGAAAAGCGGATTGCCCTCCCTGATGTGGGCCTTCGTCCAATGAGTTGAAGACCTGAATAGAACAAAAAGGTTTTGACACTCCCCCAAATAAGAGAGAATTCCTCTTGCCTGCCTGCCTTCAAACTGGAACATCGGCTTTTTCTTGCTTTTTAAATTAAACTAAAACATTGCCGCTTCCTCGGTCTTGAGGCTGCCAGCCTTTGGAATAGAAGAGCACCATAGGTTCTCCTGGTTCACTGGCTCTCAGACTCAGACTGGAACTACACTATCAGCTCTGCTGGGCCTACAGCTTGGTGACTCTTGGACTCGTCAGTTTCCATAATCACATGAGCCAATTCCTTATAATAAATCTGTACTTGGATGTATCTATATCTTTATCTATACACACATATATCCTATTGGTTGTTTCCCCAGAGAACCCTAACCAATATACCCATCCCTCTCCCCATGAGTCATACCTGAGCGCCCAGAACCTACCTTACTTTCACTACCACTCATACAAAATGACTAAGGTAGGCCTTCTTCCTCTTTCCTCCCTTCTACCTATCCTCTAGGTCAAATGCGTGGGAAGAGGAGGAAAAAGCAATAAAACCACTTAAAGAAGACAAAATTTTTTTATTCTTTTTTTCCCCCCCACTTTAATTTTTATCCATGACCTCCATCAGGGTAAAACAAATGGCTTAGGAACAAAGTTGAAAAACCTTATTAGTGGATTCAAAGTCCATTGAAACTCTCTTTCTCTCTCTATACATACATATGCAAATATATTTCTTTGACAAGAAAAAAATCTTTTTCTGAAAAATCATGTCCTATACTATTTAAATTCATCTTAAAATAAAAATCACTCATTATTAAATTAAAAATTTCTTTAAAGAGCTTTATAAAAAGAGTTCATACTTGAAACATACATAGCCCTGAATCCCACATTCATTTCTCAGAATAACTATAAAGTGCTGTTTGGGAAAAAATTCTACATAGGTTATACTTTATAAAAAGAGTTCATACTTGAAACATACATAGCCCTGAATCCTACATTCATTTCTCAGAATAACTATAAAGTGCTGTTTGGGAAAAAATTCTACATAGGTTATACTTTACTTTTAATTCTAGGGCTCTTAAACATTTCTAAGACTAAGAATTAAAGCCCAACAGCAAGATTGTAATTACTTTTTAATAGTTCTCCTCCTCATAGACAGAAGTGACCTTTCTTATCAGCTCAAAATTCTAGACCTTAGAAAAAGATCAAAGTGATGAATTTCTAATGTTAAATGTCAAATTCAGAATATCTCCTATGGATTTCGCTACCCAGGAGAGATGTCAAATTCAGAATATCTCCTATGGATTTCGCTACCCAGGAGAGAAAGAATTTTAAATACTTGAAATTCTTTCAATTGACTCCTGGATCGATCACGTGTAAAAATTATTTTGCTTTAACTACTTCAATGGTGTAAAGTAGATTATGTATACCCCACTCAGTAAGGAAAACTAATGAAAATCTCTTTAAAAGGCAAAGTCCCATTTTCATAGTCGTGTGGGAGGAACGTGCCACACATTCTATTCAGATGGATCAGCAAAGGTGCAAAGTGTGAATAAATGGCCTCTCTGTGTGAAAAGATTAAACAAATCACATGAGTTAATAAAAGGTAAAGAGTCTAGCAAAAGTCTAAATGCCATTTGTTCAAGATAAATTATATAAAAACAGTTAACATCATGACATGAAGAGTTAAGTTGCCACCGTGGCAAGTAGACTGTCTTATGTAATTCTGGATGGTAGCATGTAGAACCACAAGAAAGCAAAATTTGACTCTAGATCTCTTAGCGTGTACTGTGCTCAAGTCAGGCATTTAATACCATTGAGTCACCTTAGGCTTCAGATAAAGTGAATTCCTGCCTGAATATATGATTTCCTGCTGCAAGAATTTAAACATAATTTATTTTTCTTATATGAGAGGTTTCTCTCTCAGCATTATTAATGGTTGAGGTTAGGGATAAAAATAATTAGTACTTTTAGTTTAATTACTAGTTGATAACAACTAGTATGTTTAAGTTTTAGGTGAGTACTTTTATTTTAGAAATAATTGAGCAAACAAACTTTTCAAATTCAAATTAGTGAGAGAAAAGGATAAAAACATTCTGGAGAAGCTCTAAATTCTGTGGCCTTACAGTTAAAGGAAATCTTAATGTTACAGAATGAAGTTTTAAAACTGGGGTACCTAAGATGACAAAACAATGTCTAGCTCCTGGGGTTTGGAATATTCAAACATGGAATCTGAATGTCTACGATGGAAAAACACTTGTAGGCTACAAGAATTTCTTTGCCAGGTATTTTCTACCACCCCTTTAATGACATGGTCTAAGCTGGTACTAACAAAAGAAAAAAGGATACCACTAACATATCCTTCAGGTTCTCTGATGAGGAATAATGTCTGATGCAAATCAGTCTTCCTGGATATGCTTACCGGATAGGATTGGGAGGTGGAGGGGGGAGTGGTGGTGGAGGAGGAGGTGGTGGAAGTACTGAATTCTCAGACTGGTTCACTCGTTTCTGGAGTTCATCAACTGTATGGAGAGCGAGCATTTAGAAGAGAGCTGAAATAAACAACTAAACACCTTTTATAAATGTAAAGAGAAAAAACAACCTCTCTCACAAGGTCTTTCTATTAAGGCAAAGTTAGAAAATTCAACATGAAACTGCAGAACTTTTAAAAGTTTGTATTATCTAGTTTATCATTAATGCAAAAGAGGCCTTCCATTAAAGTAAAACGTTACCATTCTTTTGCTGTATATACAACTTGGGAAAAGAAAAAATTCAAGACAGTAGCTGACAGGTGGGAAGTAAGGACTGAGTAGGTTGAAGAAATATTTGTTAACAACGGAGTATATGACTCGAACACTAAGAAACTGTTAATACTTGACTATAAAAGTGTACAGACCAAGAATTAATTTTAAAGATGACATTTAGTAATGAATTTTAATAGCTATATACTTCTCTCCTCTGCTTAATTTCCTTCAAAAACTGCAAATACTACAGTCCTTGATTTTAACCAGACTCAGATTCCCTAATGTCTGTAACTCAGAAGCATTTTGCTCTATATACTTCTCTCCTCTGCTTAATTTCCTTCAAAAACTGCAAATACTATAGTCCTTGATTTTAACCAGACTCAGATTCCCTAATGTCTGTAACTCAGAAGCATTTTGCTCTTTTGAAAAGCATTCTGGAAATATAATTTATTCATTCAAGTCATTAATGAAACAGACATTTACAAAGCACCAACTATGTGAAAGAGACACAGTTCCTAACTTCAACTAGCTCAATGTAAATTTATATCGCAGATGTTAAAACCTAACATATGGGATAATAGAGAGAGTTATAAACACTATTTGTACCCAGAGGTAGCTCTCGCCCTTCACAGCCATTCCACTTCCCACGATCTGTCCATTAGTTTCTAGCCTCGACACTTAAACAGGCAGTGTGAGCTATGCTCTCCCACACAAAGAATTCTCCAGTTATTTCATATGCACACATCTTTCTCTTTAAAGGGAATCTGAATTCTTCAAAGACAAAAGACATGGTTTCTTTTCTTCTGTATTTTGTGTTGTACCCAAGGGTAGGACTGGGTACACACACAGCAGATACTAAATAAAACGTTTCCAAAACTGAATCTCACATATCTCTACTGTTTGCCTCCTCCATTCATAATAAATATGGCTTTAGCCACAGGCAACCCTGATATTCACTAAAAAGAAAGGAATATTTCCTAATTTTGGATCAATTTTCAAAAAATAAATTGTAACCAATTTCCACTATAGATTAGAAAGCACTGAATGTTTTTTTAAAAGAAAAAAAGCCTACATGGTTCTTCTGCACAGATTTCAAAATTCTAGTATAAAACTAACCAAAAATATCTGGAGAGAATATTGAAGCTGTTATAAAGGGAATGTACCTGCCTCTTTAAATAACCTACCTTCCAACAGAGACTTGTACTTATTCCTGTGTGGTAATCCAACTCACACATTCCTGTTAGGACTTCTTGAACTGAATGAATAAATCCTTCGATTTAAGGATCCCTGGTGTTTTAAAAGTTTTTCCATTTAATATATATATACTGTTGCCTGTTTCATTGTTAGGTGTTATATAGAAAGCATTATTTCATGTGTATAATTAGACACCAAAGATGAAGGCAGTATAAAAAAAGGTTTAATTCTTTTTAAAAATGCACTCTCAAATGAACACTCATCTCTGAAGCCCTGAAAAATGCTGAAGTTTTTGGTTTCCCATGTTAAATATCTTTGTGTCTTAATTCTATATGTGATGCTCACAAAGGCTCTAAGTCCAAAAAAAAGTATAAATATTTGTGAACTGTTTAATCATAATTACAGCGTGTGTTCTACTGAATTGCAATAGTTAGAAATGATGGAATTTAAGAACAAATCTTGGTATTTTTCTATAGAACTCAGTAAATGTTCTAGACTAACTATATGCCAGGTTTTGTACTGGGCATGACAGATTCACAGATTAATAACAAGATATAGTAGCCTACTCAATATTTTTACCAGAATGCTTTAAATTTCTGGCTTTCTCCTCAGAATTCTGATATTTTAATTCCAATTCTTTTTTATCTTCTTCTAGAAGTTCCAGTTGCTGTTTGAGGTAGTGTATCTCTTTGTGGAGTATTTCATTTTCTAGTTGCTCTTCTAATTCTTTGACCTGTAAGTTATAAACAAACATTTATGGGTGAGTTTTTCCTTTGTCAAAGAAAAAAAAAAGAGATTTAATGAATATTTTCCTTAGACTTTGTACTTCATAGCAAAGAGATTCTAATCCATCAGAAAAACCATGCAAATTCTAGATACAGATAATACTTACAATCATTAACAGCTCTTTGATTTAATATAAGTTTATGGGGGAGTCAGGCACCAGACACTTTAATTTTTAAACATGAATCACAAAAGTAAAATAATACCTAAAAATTCATTTAAAATATATTAATAATTTTGTAGCCATTTTTAAGAGAAAAATTCAGGTAGTATTTCAAAAGATCCCTGGGGGGCACAATTTGGTAACAGGTATCAATAAAAATAAAAAAGAAGGAAAGCCCTTTTTATTCAGTTATACAATTTTTAGAATTGGTGGGTTTTTGTGGGGTTTTTTTTGGCAGCTGGCAAGCATGGGGATTCGAACCCTTGACGTTGGTTTATAACATTGTGCTCTAACCAACGGAATTTGCTTTAAATAATATTCAGACAGGTATGCAAATATATTCACTGAAGTGTTCTTTATAATAGTGAAAAGCTGGAAATAACCTAAATGCCCACCAATATTACTGAGTTAGTAAATTGTGATGTGTTCATTTAAAATCACATAGCTTACTATATACTGACATGAGAAAATACATTACAAATTGGAAAAAAATAGGTTATAGGGTAGTATGTGTGGTATGATTCCATGTAAACAAATATATAAATTCATAAAATGATGTATTTACACAAAGTTTAGATATGCACCAAAATGTGGGCATCTTGGGTAATTTTCATTTTAACTTTTCCTGTATTTTAAAAATTTATTTATTATAAGAAGTAGATGTTATTTTTATTATTGCAAAAATGATATGGCTATGTTTAAAAGATTACAGAATCAGTAAGGGAACTTACAGACAGATAAGAAATATTTTAAGCCACCAACAGATGTTCCCCATTTTACAACAGTTCAACTTATGATTTTTTGACTTTAGGACAGTTGAAGAGCGATTAGCATTCAGTATAAACCATATATCGAATTTTGATCTTTTCCCAGGCTAGCAATATGCAGTATGATGCTCTCTTGTGATGCTGCGCAGCTGCAGTGACCTGCAGCTCTAGGTTAGCCATGCGATCATGAGGACAAACAACGAATACTTTACAATGTACCATGTTGCCAGACGATTTTGCCCAACTGTAGCCTAATGTAAGTATTCTGAGCACATTTAAGGTAGGCTAGGCTATGATGTTCAGGTAGGTTAATGTATCAAATGCATTTCTGACTTACAATATTTTCGACTTAAATTGGGTTTATTGGGACATAACCTCATTGTAAGTTGAGGAGCATCTGTATAAGAAAGATTATCCAGAGTAACTGTATATAGTACAGTAAAACAGTTTTAGAAGTAATGATTATTATAATTTCTTCATAACTTTTATCTAATTTTCAGTACCTCTACCACAAGGTATATATACAATGATTTAGTCTTATACCTCAGTTCATTCAGTAGGTTCTATGCATGTATTATTACTAAATGAGACAACTGTAAATAGTTGCACTTTTCAGAACCAAAGTTATATTCTAGCGTAAGCTAAAAAAAACACATTCTTTTTTTCTTTATTTGGAATGGTAATTTCTACACACGTGAACAACAAATAAAAAGAAATTCTTTCCTTCCAGCCCTGTTCCCCAATCCTCTTTCCAAGCATTCAGTAGGTTCTATGCATGTATTATTACTAAATGAGACAACTGTAAATAGTTGCACTTTTCAGAACCAAAGTTATATTCTAGTGTAAGCTAAAAAAAACACATTCTTTTTTTCTTTATTTGGAATGGTAATTTCTACACATGTGAACAACAAATAAAAAGAAATTCTTTCCTTCCAGCCCTGTTCCCCAATCCTCTTTCCAAGGGTTAATCACTGTTACCATCTATCTAACCACAGGTACTCCACATATATTCCAAAATTTCTTATTGAGGAAAAAATAAAAATCAACTCTACCTAACCATCAACTCTAAAAACTTCAGAACTTCCAGAGATTAAATGTCAATACTGTTGCTCAAAGAGACTTTGACAGGTGATAAAATAGCAGCTAACAGCCTTTCCTTCACAAACTAGGTACAATGTACGTAGTATAAATATTGATGTGATTTTTCTGAAGTGTTTTCTTTAATTTGAAAGTCTTTGTTCCACCTCTTCACCTCCCCTCCCCACCTCCTTCTCACCTACCACAATGACTATCCTTTCTGCCTAGCCCACAGAGGTAGGCTGTGTCAGCTGGAATAGCTCCACTCATACGAACTGAAATTACCACTTAGGGAGTCTTTAAACATATACTTTTGAGCAAGTTTACAAAATGAGAAATTTTCTCTAAGCAAACAATTACTACTAACATGGACTTTTCTTTTCCTCCCTCTTTGAACAAAACCTTTGCCCTCCAACAGCTCTTTGAGACTAATACACCCTCCTAGTGTATGCAGTCTCCAAAAAACACAATTGCTCCAAAAAGCAGACTTCCAGACTGTGCAATACCCAAGCTATTTTCGAGTCATATCTCTTTCTCTTGCTTTTTCTGACCCTTGGGACAACTTAAAGATCATTACAAAGTCTATAACAGTGTACTATAAATTTTAGTTTGGCAATAAATTAAGTTCATTTGGTAGTCTTTTTTTCCTAGAAGGTGACTGGAAGGATTTAGTAAGGCAAAACATAGAACCATAAATGACTAGACTGACTCCTCTCTTTTTAAGTATATAAGAGTGTGTGTGTGTGTGAGATGTGTGGTGTGTATGGGGTGTGTGGGGTGTGTGTGTGTGTGGGGGGGGTGTATCTAAGACTCCAGAAGAAAATCTGTTACCTTTTGCTGATGCTGAATTCTCTCTTCTTCAAGGAGCTGGATGAGTTTTGCATTTTCATCTAAAGCTTTCAAAAGCTGCTGGTCAGGGACAGAGCTATGAAGCAGAAGGTGGCTTTGTCTCTTTAGCTTGTTTTGTTCGATGAACATCTGCAAAAGTTCATTACGAAAAGTACAGAGCAATCAATCCAACATATTTCCTCAGCTGCAACTTCAGCAAAAGTATGTAGAATTTTTATTAAAAAGTTAAAGACAATTTCTGAAGTATATAAGTTTTAGAAGTAGTGATTGCTACAATTTCATTCCTAACTTTTATACAATCTTCAGTACCTTTAAATCCTGTCCCCAACAAAGTGAATATAATTTAGTCCTATAACCTCAGTTTTTAAGATTTCATTATTTCTTTAAAATACATTAACATTAACAGTAGTAGCTAACATTTATCAAGAACTTACCTTATGCCAGGTATTCTACTAAATATTTTATTCCTTACATCAATCCTATGAATTAAGTGCTTCTACTCTGAATAGGTAACATTTACTAAACACTGTGTGATATATATGGTGATAATCATTTTACATTCATTGTATCATCTAATCCTTAGAACAACACTGTCAAGTAGACACTGTTATCAGCATCCCACTTTACTGATAGGGTAAGTAAGGCTCGGAGGGGTTAAGCAACTTTCCTAAGGATGCACATAATGGCAAGACCAGGATTTTAACCTATATCTATCTCAATTACCATGCTCTTAACCACTTGGCTAATTTCCTCTGCTATTTTACTAGACCTAATGTTTTGTGTTAAACTAATCAGTTTTTCCCCAGTGATAAAAGTTGTTAACAGTAGAAGGGTAAAATGGAAAATGGAGACAGTATACTAATATTCAAGAACACTTTATTAAGCAATTTATATATATTATTCATCTAATCCTCACAACTTTACATGATTGAAAACAACATTATCTTCTATTCACCTGTTATTTCTTTTCCCTAATACTCTATCCAAGTTGGCCAGTGAGTGATTCCAAGCATGAAATGTTCTACAAACTCTGAAATCAGACCCATTTTATTGCAGAGCTTCACACTGTCAGATTCTTAACAGCATTTTATAATTTACATTGTAACTAAATTGTAAGATCTGTACTGTAAAACAGCTTGCTAGAGCCCATATATTAGTTTATTCAATAACTTCATTCATCATGTAACAGAAAAAGCCAGAAAATAAAACTCAAGACAAAATATTTTCTATCAACCTCCATGTGGAAAGACCACAAATAAAATGATTTATGTGATCCTTAAGCTTAGTCCTTGGTCAGTATAGATTTCCAAATCAAAATCAAGTTATGAATACACTATTTTCTATCAACCTCCATGTGGAAAGACCACAAATAAAATGATTTATGTAATCCTTAAGCTTAGTCCTTGGTCAGTATAGATTTCCAAATCAAAATCAAGTTATGAATACACTATACTAAAATGCTAACATTTTCTTCCCAGTATGTCTTCCTATGAGGAGGGAAAAATGATCAGAAGCTTTCATTCTTTGCCTGTGCAGAAATTTATAAGCCTACTAAACTATAATAATGTTCTTCTGTAAAACTAAAACACACTAAAAAGTCAAACAGGTAAATAAACAATTTTATATACATAAAATCCACATTCTTCTTCCATTTGACTCCTCATCTTTACCTAAGAGTGAGAGGTATGGAGACAGTACAAATGTGTGTGTGCACACGTGTACATGTGTACGCGCATGTTTGCTAGGCTAAAGAAGAGTGAGACTAGAGGCCTCAACATACTGGGGAAGGGTAATCAATACTTCATCCTAGTTTCTTAAATTTAAGACTAATAGTCTAATTGAAATTAATCATTCTGGGTTACAGTTATTACTACAGTAGTTTCTTTATTACATATTTTCCCCTTAAACTTAACTAGGTGGAGTCCCTTACCAGCATCTTAGAAAGCACCTCAGAGAGTCAGCATGAAAGGCCTGCAAACAGCAGCTGAAGCGATGTTCTCTGGTTTTCCAGCAAGCGAAGCCTTTTACCACGTCTGTTCAGAGGCTGAGAGCCAGCAGAAAGGAAGCAGACAGTGGGGGGGACCAGAACAGAGGCCTGGAACTCACCAGTAAAACAAAGCAGGGCACATGCTAACCACCAGTGCAAATGGGGCTTTATCAGTCTCACTGAACAAGCTGCTTCTCTGTGCTTTGGTTTTCTCTTGCACAAAGGGGATAGTGCTCCTTTTCCATGTAGCACTCAGGAAAACTTGCTTAACTTTACAAGTTGATTATAAATTATCTTGTTTAACTTTACAAAGTTCATTATAACTTATCTCAACTCTGTTATTTTGGAGAGAAAAGAGTAAAGACACATGACTTCAAATCTTAGGGATGTAAATAACATGAATTTCTTTTGCAAAATCGCTGTAACAATCCCTGAACATTACTAGTATCAGAGGAAAACGTATATAGATAATAATTTCCTTTAAATAACAATAGTAACTTTAAAAAAGTGCCCATTAGACTACCTTTTCTAAACTTCAGGATACTAAAGTAAAAATTCTACATAACTCCTTTTCTAAAAAAGTATTTCAAGAAAATTCAGTTAGCAAACACTAATTAATTTGGTTTTCAGCTATGGTAAGAACTTATTGGTTAGAGTTATTAAGTTGGTCTCTTATCAGACAACACTATAGGTATCAGAATTTCAGAGAAATTTCATAAGTCTTTTCAAAGAATGAGAGTGAACGGAAAATCTTATGCTGTTAATATATAATTCATTCCTTCCAAAATAACAGTCAAATATCATCTGATTTATTTGGAAAGAAAAAAAGAATTGTCTACATAATAGTCTCATAGTATATTGGGAATACATGTTAAACAAGGCATTTATATCTTAAAAAAGAAAAGAAAAACTACATTGAAAACATAGCAAGAAAAATATATTCCAAAAAGTACAAAAAGTCTTTCATTAAAAAATTTAATTATGTTGAGGAAATAAAACAACTGCATATACTTATAAAGACAACTGACTTTTTTCTTCTTGTTGAGGCGGATCATGTTTTTGGTTTTATTTTTTAAATGAACTACTGGTAATAGAAATGGGGCAGAAAGTTTCAACTTTTACTTTATACATTTGCAAACTGTTTATGTTTTTTACAAGGTATATATATTCCTTTTGCAAATAAAAATATGAAGTAAGTTAATTTTAAAAATTGATTTCTAAGGCTCCAGGCTGTAAGCACAAAGGGCTGGGCTCACACTTGCTTTCTTTACCATTAGATTTCCAATATCAGCAGTGTCTGGCAAATAAGATGTTTGCTGCATGCACTAAGGAACAAAACACTAAAGAGTGGGACGCTCTTGTTAAACTAAGCCATGTGCCTTTTCCAGTAGTTATCTGTTGAAAACCTGAGAATCTGTAAACCATGTAAAAGGGGAAACATGCAGGTTCCAGTCTAGCCCTATTTTTAAAAAAGTTTTTCTCTCAGTATTGTGTAGATAGCATCTAGACACTGTAAAATTATTGAGCACCATGCAAATATTACACTACCATTAACATAAGCACCACTGTTCTTGCTTTCCCTCCTCAAACTTCTACCTCCTCATTCTGAGTGAACATGTCAGCATCATTGTTTCCACCAATCACTAAGGCTGAAGGCCCTACCAGGTGAATGGCAGAGCAAATCATTCATTTTCATACTCTTACTGCAACCTTGCTTCTTCCAGCTGTATTCCCTGCTACTGCATGGCCTTCAAGTTTTTCTCTGAGCTGCTTTGTATTCTAACATCATTGCACAAACAGATGGAAAACTGAAAATGTCTTCAAATAAGTAAGACCCTTTGGTTTGGGTCAAAATCAGCCAACCTTTTCAGTTTTCCAATGGAGGCATCATCACATTATCTCTACTCCCCCTCCCCCTCCATTATTTATTTAGTTGCATTATTTATATTGCTGCAGCTTTTCCAAAGGTCTCTGACACATTTTGTTGGTTTTTTTTTTCCTTTCTTCCAAGTAATAAGAACAATATTTACTCACCTTTCATTAAACTCTCTGAATAAAATGAATCATAATATTTCAAGTCAGATCTACTTGGCCTAAACCTTTGGTAGAGTTCATTGCTAGCACAGCTATGCTCAAACACAGAAAGACACCCCCACCAAAACCACCCTGCAGTTTTCAAATGTCATTCCCATAATGCCATGCTTTGTCTTCCTTTAACACCTTGGATGCCTCTACCTAGGACTGTTTTATATTTCCTTAGTTACTTTCCTTCAACCCACAGTACGCACACAGATCCAAAATACTTATACAGGATGGAGGTCTCATTGCAGATCAGCTCCACACCATGAGTTTAGCAAACTGGCGACTCATCACTACCCTGGAAACCAGCCCCAGACCATAGAATACCCAATGACTGCATGTCAACAAGGTAAAACAGAACAAGAGAAGCTCAAAGCTTATCTCTAAATAGAGAGGAAAATCATTACACTGGTGAAAGGCTGAGATAATGGATAATCAAGTCGCATAATGAGAGCACTGTACAATGGCTGAAGAGAGTACTGATACAATGATACTGTTATCTGAGACGACCTATGGAGATGTAGCCCAGATTCTTAAGGCTATTTGAAACACACAGATATCCTGTACTCAAGCTGGATTTTCCATCACAAGTTACAGTATCTCTAAATGCAATTCCTTTTCCCTATTATACTTAATAAAATACTTTTTAACAGAACAACAGGAGTATAAACTGATAGAACTACTCAAAAAGTAATTTGGCATTATACAGTGAAATTGAAGGTAAAATTTTACATTTGGCATATATTTTAGTGAAACTCTTGGACATGTACACCAAGAGACATGTATAAGAATTTCAATAAAAGCATGACATGGAATAGCAAAACAACTCAAATATCCACCAACAAATTAGTTGAATAAACAAATTTTGGCATAGTATAATCACCTAATGGAATATTATACAGCAGTGAAAACAAACATACCACAGCTATGCCCTTCAACATGGATGAATCTCACAAACACAAAAAGTCACAGAAGGTTATTTGCAAAACGATTCCATTTATAAAAAGTTCAAAAACATGCAAAATTAATGTGCTGTTTAGGAATACATACCTATTTGACAAAACTGTAAATAAAAGAAATGAAATTATAAAAATTCAAGGGGGTGGGTGCAAATAGAGGGGGATGTTTGTGGGCTTATTAAAAATTCAAGGGGGTGGGTGCAAATAGAGGGGGATGTTTGTGGGCTTATAAGATACCAGTAAGTATGGAGAGGTTTCTTTTACCGGTATTCTCGTTGTCTTCCATATACAATATAACCATATATAACAAAAAGATTTAATGTATATATAGGGTTTAAAATTAGAAGACTATACACTCGAATGTTAACAGTGCCTATTTCTGGATTATAAAGGTTGAAATATTTTTCTTTTCCTATATGAATCTAAATTTTCCACCAAAAAAGCGTATTTCCTGAATAAAAAGAATATATATATACGAGTGTATATATGTATATGTGTTTTTTAAGTGTTTTCCATGTTTTCAAAGGAGAGAAACAGCCTTAGATTCATTCAGGCTCAAACAGTCAGTACTTTGTACTAAAGAATTACTGTAGGATTAAATCTTCAAAAGGAAGGTCCTGTCAAATAAAAGCAATGTGAATTCTTTGCTACTTTTGACATGTAGTGGCCTATTTTATTAAATAATGATACAGACAGGACAGAGGGAATGATGACATCAGAAATTAGGCACAACACAGGGTAGATAGCCCTCTGCTTCTGGTGAGGCACCTCAATCCTGAGCTGAGTCATATCAAAATCTTTAAAAGGCTCTCTTAATGGCTGCTTTCACACACTGTTCTGCCAGGGCACTTCAATCCTAACTGACTAAGGACTGGTTTGCTGTGTAATGACATAGAATTTCAAACTCTGTACTCTGAAAATCTACTGCCTCCTCAGACGAAAGTCTAATGGTCTTACTCAAGTAAAGCAAGATAAGTGGTAGTTTGTGGTGTGAATTATAGGTCCCTGAGAACTAAATGATTTTCAAACCTATTTAAAAAAGAAATTTCATGAAGAAAACAAAGACAACTATGACTATCTGAAGCCCTGGGCAAGATAAATGTCTTTTCCATGTCCAGAACACTGTAAGAAAAAGTGAATTTTGGGCCGGCCCGTGGCTCACTCGGGAGAGTGTGGTGCTGATAACACCAAGGCCCCGGGTTCGGATCCCACATAGGGATGGCCGGTTTGCTCACTGGCCGAGCGTGGTGCTGACAACACCAAGTCAAGGGTTAAGATCCCCTTACTGGTCATCTTTAAAAAAAAAGAAAAAGAAAAAGTGAATTTTTACAGGTCCTGGCCCTTTTGACTTGGATTCTGAAAAAAACTACGCTGGTCCTAGTCTTTATTTATATAATTTCTCTCTCTTCCTAGATAGAGGGCTCTATGAAGGCAAGATCCACGTGATTAACCTTTGAAGAACCCTCTGTTTCACCCTGCATCAAGACTGAAAATTCTTCTACACTATTTCTATATTTAAATGAAGAAAGATCTGCAGAAATGTTGCAATCTAAAGTATCTTCCACACTTAACTACAAGGTCCTTTGTTTATTAAAAAATTCCAGGTGATGAATAATGCAGATTAACAGCTAACACCAATAACAATGTGGTAAAGCCCTGGGTCTGAAAGATTTCCTATTACTATTACAGATTCTAAATTAGGAATGAGTGTCTGAGGGAAACAGGGAGAACAGAATGCACATTAAATCCCCTTCTTCAGAATTATTTTTACAGAACTGCACGTTGGCATCACTCCCTCGTCCTAAACCAGGGACCAGAAGATACAGCCCCCATGAGAATCGATGCTGTGTTTTACAACAAAGATAAGGTCACTGTTGACCAAATTATACAAAACTTTCTCTGGAAGTAGCCATTGAAGACATTTCCCTCTCACTACAAGACCAAGTCTGCTTCCCCTGATCATTAGGTTCATTTTTATGTGAGTCATTAAATGATCATTGATTGCACTGGCTGCTAGAGAGCTCAGAGCCAGATTTCAGGCACAGAGGCAGGAAATGTGCAAGACCTCAGGGCAAGTATGCACTTCTTATACCAATCTATACTCTCACTTTCCCTTTGTCCCATTTTCTATATCTTCTTAACTTAAAATTTTATAATATCATGTTGCATGTGTTTATGTAGGTATCCTAATCTCTTCTGGATTGAGATTTACTAAATAACCTATCAAATATATAAATGCTGAGGGGATAGCCAAAATGACCATGGTCCTAGGATATATGCAGGACTGAAGTGATAGGTTTAGGTTTGAAGTTTCAAAATGAATGAGTTCTAAGTTCCTCAAGTGAAATCTCTTTTAAATGTTCCCTGACTTGGGTGATAATATAATAGGAATGAGAGAGAGACTCGCTGCTAGGAAAACACAATTCAGGAGAAGATTTTGGCTACAAGAATCTTTGGGCACAGGTGTAAAATGACACAAAAGACATGTAAACAAAATGAATTACATAAGTATTTGAGAAAAAAGACTGGAAAGACATACCTCTATTGCATTTTTCTAAGACTTTTCTCTGTTCAAGAACTTCTGAATTTAAAACAGCTTTTTCTTGTTTAACTTTATTTACCTAAAAATGTGAGATTTTAAGGGGAGAAAACACCCAAAATTGTAAAACAGGACACATTAGCAATGTGTGACACTCAAATGGCTGTTCAACTTTCAACATGAAGTTACAGTTTAAAGCAGAAATTAGCTTCTCTGTGTTAAGGCTTACACTAAAGCTCTTTCTGAAATCTTCATAGCTATTTAAGTTAGGATATATAGGATATACACTTGGCACAAAGTTATTTACAAATTCTAACTGGCGTTGGCATTGGTCCCTAAACATGACAGTACTCTATCTATCTGGTGTAAATGATTCATATTTTTAATGCAAAAATCCAATTAGAGATCACCCAGAAAATACACAAATCATTTGGTCAAAGATACAACACTCAACTTTGGTATTCATTTTAAACTTTGATGACTTTTGGCTTAAACATGCATGAACTTTTAAAATTAAAAATATTTTGAATTTTAATGGCTAAAATTTAAGCCAAAACCTAAAGTAAAATAAAATACATGTGAAAATAATCCCCCCAAAACTTCAATTTCTGAAATAACTTTTGGCATCTATCAATAGGAGAAAAGAATACCATACAGCGGTCAGAAAAAAAAAAAAAAAGACTGTACAGCTACACATATCAAGGTAGGTAAATCTCAAATACATTATGTTGAATAAAAAAAAGCAGGTATATTTATACGGTTTAAAAACACTCAAAATGTACTGGCCAGTTAGCTCAATCAATTAAAGTGCAGTGTTATAACAGTAAGGTCAAGGGTTCAGATTCCCATACCAGCCAGCTGTAAAAAAATAAAGAAAAAGAAACAAACAAAAAACCTGTGATCCATTAAAAAATAATAATAAAAACACTCTATGCATTGTAGTAAACGTAAATACATGCACTTTGTAAAACAGGACACATTAGCAATGTGTGACACTCAAATGGCTGTTCAACTTTCAACATGAAGTTACAGTTTAAAGCAGAAATTAGCTTCTCTGTGTTAAGGCTTACACTAAAGCTCTTTCTGAAATCTTCATAGCTATTTAAGTTAGGATATATAGGATATACACTTGGCACAAAGTTATTTACAAATTCTAACTGGCGTTGGCATTGGTCCCTAAACATGACAGTACTCTATCTATCTGGTGTAAATGATTCATATTTTTAATGCAAAAATCCAATTAGAGATCACCCAGAAAATACACAAATCATTTGGTCAAAGATACAACACTCAACTTTGGTATTCATTTTAAACTTTGATGACTTTTGGCTTAAACATGCATGAACTTTTAAAATTAAAAATATTTTGAATTTTAATGGCTAAAATTTAAGCCAAAACCTAAAGTAAAATAAAATACATGTGAAAATAATCCCCCCAAAACTTCAATTTCTGAAATAACTTTTGGCATCTATCAATAGGAGAAAAGAATACCATACAGCGGTCAGAAAAAAAAAAAAAGACTGTACAGCTACACATATCAAGGTAGGTAAATCTCAAATACATTATGTTGAATAAAAAAAAGCAGGTATATTTATATGGTTTAAAAACACTCAAAATGTGCTGGCCAGTTAGCTCAATCAATTAAAGTGCAGTGTTATAACAGTAAGGTCAAGGGTTCAGATTCCCATACCAGCCAGCTGTAAAAAAATAAAGAAAAAGAAACAAACAAAAAACCTGTGATCCATTAAAAAATAATAATAAAAACACTCTATGCATTGTAGTAAACGTAAATACATGCACTGAATTGATAAACACAAGTTCAGACTAATGGTTTAGGGAAACTGGACAGGGAGTGAGGAAAATGCAACTGGGGAGAGGTACAACAGGGTTTTCATCCCTAGGCTAATGTTCTATGCGTTAAGTCAGGTAGTAGGTACATGAATCTTCATTATTTTGTTCTTTATACTTTTTCAGATGTCTGAAATAGTCATAATAAAAAATAATTTCTGAATTGTCTTCCAATGACACCTCTAAGTGGGAGGGGAGAAAATCATCGATAAATAATCACAACTGAGGAATAGAGAACATTAGAATGTGTTTCTTGTCTCTCTCCTATGGTTATACTCAAGAAACAAACTAAGATAATAGTCCCAAAATTGATTCTGAATCTAGCAGCAAACCTCCAGAAAGTATGTAAACTGGTTTCTTTTAGTATGAGCCTTACTTTAGTTTTCGGATTAAATTAACTCGTATACACTACCCAACAGTAAAGTTCCTTCCAAAATATCATCACCCTTCTCCTTTCATTACAATGTTTTGCCATAACAAGTAAGAGCAGCTGGGGCTAGAAGATTGGTGGGCACTGCTTCCCAACCTTTTTTTTTTACATCATTGCCCTTAAGAAAATAACAACATGTGTATGTGAACCGAGGTGACTGGATGAGGCTGCTCTCTGAAGAGATCAACACTTTGGCATACTTGTAAGCCATTTGAGGGTTATCAAGGTGCTGTAGCCCATCAGTAGGGAAGCTCTGAGCTACAGAATCTGAGAATCACTAACACAAGTTAAATTGAGATTGTGAAGGCAGATTCTTGAAACTGCACCCAAATAAAAGGCAATTGTGTGGTCTTATTCTTAAAGACAGTTCAAAAGGAAAAAGAAAGACTGTCCAAATATCCACTTGAAACCATTCTACCTTCTACCATATATGCCCGTGTTAGAGGTACACAGAGGGACAGCCCTTTCCAACTGAGCCAGCCATCCACTAGACAAGCAAAATTCTTTCTTCCTTCTTCACTAGAAGCAAAAAAGTGTATGACCTGAAGTAGCAGCTACCATTCTTACAAATTTGCCTCACACAGTAAAAAATGGGGGACACAGGGAACACATCCATGCTATTTTAGTGTTTTATTTATTAAGCTAGGTAGTGGGTACTTGAATGTTCATAATCTTATTTTTTATAGCTTTTTGTATGTCTGAAAGAAGGGGGAAAAGAGAAGATTAAAATTGGTACATGGTTCTCATGTCAGAAACTAGCTTCCAACAGCAAGTTTTTAACTTAGCCAGACCCCAAACACCTTGGAAACGCTAAAGACCTTGCTTTTCAGGCATAAGATACATACTTCTTCCATAACTTCTACAAGTTTGCTCTTGAGATTTTCCAGCTCAATGGCTAATATCTTCTTTTCCTCCTGAACAGATACAAGTTGATCTCGAAGTTCTGCAGTTTTAAAGAAAAAAACAAAATAAACTGATTTTAAAAGAAGAAATCAATCTGATCAAAAGAATTGAAAATGCCAGTCCATGTGTAGCTTATGGTCAAGATTATTTAACAACTAAAAGGAAAATTAAGAACCAAGGGACAATGGGAATCTACTTGTGTGCCCCTCTATATAGTCATGGTTGTTATTAATTTTATATCAGAGTCAATCTCGCTATGTTAAATGTATCAGGTCATGTTTTCTTTGCATTCTATGAAACCCATATTCTAGAAAACTGTTATTTTAGAAGTAAAATTTTTAAGCTTTCAGTAAAACAAATTAAGGCACTGTACTAATTTCTTCTTTATTTCATAATGGTCATGGGATCTTGTCACAGTATGATAAAAACAAACAAGTGGACAGAGAATAATGTGGAGATTTTGATTTCAAGAAAAAAATCATGACTTGCTACTAATTTATAGCCCTTAAATACTATTTAAGCTGACTCAAAATATAACTATTTGAAAGAAGGGTTAATCTTAGTAATTTTCAGAGTTGCAGGTGTTTTGTTTCTTAATTTATTTCATATTTTTTATTACTGGGATTTAATGGAAAATGTGTTACCAGAATGAAAATATTAGCAACTGTAAGTGAAACAGCTCCTGCTGTTAGTCTAAAGTTACTTCTACCACTCAAATGTTTAAATATATACATGGATTAACACAGACTATTTAAATTTATTCCCAGGCCTACTGTTTTGTCACTTAGTTTTTAACTGTTTTTAATTTCTTACCCCTCTCCAAGGACAACAAGAAATCTGCTATGTGATTACATATAAATTGAATCAAACTTTTTACATGAACCCAGCTTGAAGAAGTTTTCAGAGACCTGTTTCTAAATCACTGTCTCCATTCGCTGGCTAATCCAAAAGGAAGAACATGAGACCATATTGTTCAAGACCTAACAGAAGGGAGAATAATGAACAAGCAGAAGTCCTTCAAACTTTCTCTACCTCCCTACCAACATAATTTCTATTTTGTCTTAGGTTAAGGGGTTGAAGAGTCGGGTAAAGATGGTGTCTGTAACATTCCTTCTTCTTTGTATGTGGGAGCACATAGGCTTGACAAAGAACAGGGAATGTACAAAGGGCAAAAGTCCTAAGTGTACTTATGCAGAACCTAAGTGCTGAAAACAGCAAACAGTTTCTGCTAGATTAGATAAGAACATTAAGGCCATTTCTTATTCAGCTTCACTCCCTTTCCTTTGTTTCTCAAGATGTTTTCCAGAGATTGCCCCATAGCCAATTCCTTTTCATTCCTTTGATAAATGATTGTTTTTTCTCTTGTATTTCCTTGTCTTTATAATAAAAGCTGAAGCAAATACCAACTCAGGGCTGCACCTTGTTTCTCCTTTCTTGACGGAGTTGTCTCAGTGCAGTCCCTTTGGGCTTCTCATTACTCTTAATATTTGGGCTCTGAGTAATCTCTGCATCTCTATCACACAGTGATAAGTGATATTTATATTTCCAATTGAAATTTTATTTACCAAATTAATGAGTATTACTTTTGACATGTGTACTAAGTTCAATTGTTCAAATAGTTATTGAGCCAAAAACTGCTTTCCTACATCTTTAACATAAACAATATGTATACTTCTATTAATAAAATTAATATGCATTTAATAGATGTTTTAATAGATGTATCATATAACCTTGCCTTATGGCACTACTTGTTGACCAACACTTGTTTAATACTGAGTATTGCTTATAGTTCACTGCCCAAATCAGATGGGAAGTTCTTGGAGAGCAGAGACTAAGCAATCTGGGGAGGAATCTTCCCCAAAGATTCCAGCAGAAAACCAAACAAAAAGGTGGTGCTGCCTAAATATATTTGTATCCATTCTTTCTTTCACTTAACAAAAGTATCTCAACACACAGGCCATATTCTTAAGGTTATAGTTTAACTGGCTGTTTCTGTTGAGACACTTTCAAAAGTGCATGCACAATCCCAAACAAGAAAGTAACTCCTAAAGCACAGATGTTATATCCTTATCATGATTCTCGATCAAGCTACATGCTAGGTGAATTAAATCAGAATTTGGGGGAAGGGCAGGACCCAGGCATCAGTATTTTTAAATGTTTCCACATGATTGTGATGTGCAGTCACAGTTGAACAGCACTGTCATAATAAGAGTCAAAATATGCTTAATAATTAAGTCAAGAGTCACACCTTTGATTTGCTTCTGACACTCTATTGAGACACAAGTCTTGGCAGTACCCTCTGTGTCCACAGTTGAATCTTCATCATCAATGTTTATCTCCTCAGTTATCACATCTGGCCCCAGCTTGGCCATGTATAACATGCTGATTCTTTTCAATGTTTTATTTTCTTTATTTAGCTAAGACAAAATATAAAAACGGTTATTATAACAGCAATCAAATGAGTATATTGGAGTTTTAAACAATAGACAAATTAAGTGTATTTTTGTCTTACATATTCATCAACATTCACAGCAGGACACAACAATTAGAGGATTCATTAAATAGGGCTTTAGTCACACTTTTTAATATTAAATTTATTACTTTAAGCAAGACCTGATGCCTAGATTACAGTCGGCAAATGGAAATGCTAGTTATAACTAATAAGAAATATAAGAAATTAAGATAAAACACCAGTATAGATTAAATCAAACTTCAATTTAATTATACTCATTAATAGTCTTTTAAGGCACTTTATTTCAAGCAAATTTTTCTGTTTGATGCTGTGCTGTGAATACCTTTCAAATGTCTGTTTGCCCAGCATCCCCTCTTTTCTACCCATTGTCACTCTCCTTCATTGTTCCACATGATTTCTATGGGAAGAGCCATGCACGCCCAAACCATACTCCATCTCTTTGGCCACAGCTAATTAGTCTGGGAATTAGGCACATGACCCAAGCTTAGTCAATCAGATCCCTTCTCTAGATATCTGGAGGCTAGAATTGAGAGATGAGTTTCTTTCTATGTGTCTGGATGCACAGGAGCTGTTGCAACCACATTCTTCTACTGAATTGAGGAAGAGAGGAAGGTAGTCTGTCACAAAGCCAAAAGTGAAACTGATGTGTAGGGAGGCAGAGAAAAGCAATGGAGAAAGGGTTTCCCAGTCCCTGGCTCCAGTCCATTCCTGAACTGCTCCTGGCTCATGGTTTCTAAAGGATCCTCCAATATTCCTCTCTAACAAATTCTTAATTTTTTTTTCTTGCTAAAGCGAGTTCAAGTTGTGTTTCTGCTATCTGTACATAGTCCTAAGGATACAGAACAGAAGTAAGTTTAAATATGTTTCTTTTATCTCTACAAAAAGAATTCTATTTAATTCATAGCAGAAAAAAAGAATCCTAATTCATTAATGTATTTGTTATTCCCTGATGCAGAAATGAGTTGGTTTTTATCTTTAGATGCTCAATTACCATCACCTTCTTTAGCTAATGTGCTTACGTGCATAAAAATATAAATACAAAGCACACACAGACTAAACTTGGTCCAACGTCCACAGAAGGAAAATACGGCTTACTTATGTTTTCTCTTCCCAAGACTAAAAAATAAAAGGTCTTCTCTTATTTGAGCACACGGAAGTATTTAGCAGATTATTTTCCCTAGTATAAAAACATAAGCTACAGAAATGCAAACACACTTCCTTTACTAGAGCCATGGGCCACCAAGACAAGATCTGAATCTAATAATTGATATTAAAAATAAATTAACATAATTGATTGGAAAGCTAACTACCCTTCCTTCCCTATTGTAAACCTTACACCAGAATAAGATGTTTAGTATATTACTTGTCTGCCTTTGGCCCTTCATTTGTGATCATAATTAGGGCCCCTCAGGCTTTCTCAAGGAAAATCTAGCCCATTTCAATCTGGGAGATCTGGTTCTTATCTCAATAATGTAGAATCTAAACGCATCCCAAATGGTATGGCCTCGATGGAGCACAGGAGATTTCACTGCCCTCTTTAGGGAAATCAGGAAGAATCCGTTAGAAATGGCTATGAACCCTTCCATGGATTCTTCCTGGGAAGACCAGCAAGCTCTATTTAGGGAATCAGACACAGTCCTTTATCCAATACTCAATTTATAGTTCCAGCTTCTACCTCCCCACATTACATTAGAGGATCAGGGATAAAAGATGAGAACCATAATTTCTCAATCCCTCTTCCTTAAGATAGAAAATTCAAGTAAATACTGTTGTGGGTTCTTTGAACCATGAATGCTACAGCATGGCACTAGAGGCTCAAGGACCCTTCTTGTCAATTCTCAAACTATGCCATATTTAATGAATGTTAGAAGAAAATACCAATTTAAGAAAAAACTCAAGACATAATTTATAATTCTGCCTCCTATAAACTAATGATTCTCAACTCAGCACACAAGAACATCTGGAGAGCTTTTAAAAAAATCGGAATGGCTAGGCCCTACACCATACCAAAATCTCTGGCAGTGGGACCCAGCATAGTACTTTTTCAGAGCTCCTCAGGCAATTCTAATGTACATCAACAATAAAAATCATTGATGTAGATAAATGCAATGCTTCAGTGTACAACCCAGCTCTGCAATCAAATTCTGTCTCTGCCTCTATAACTAACCCAATCTTTCAGCATCTCAGTTTTCTCATCAGCAAACTAAGGATAACAATAGTCTATCCTGCAATATGAAGATTAAATGAGATAACATAGAAAGTGCTTAATACAGTAACTGACATATAGTAAAATTTATGTGTTAGCTGTTAAAAGTAAGAAAAGAGGTTTACTTCGTGTGTCTCTAATTATCCTTTGGAAATCATTTATCAGCTAGTTTTCTTCAACCAAAGTATTTTGTATGCATTTTCTTCTTCCTCCAGTATACTCATGACAATACTAACCTTTGCTATCTCGTGCTTAATATATTAATTCCCAGTCCACCATCACAATAATACTTGATAACCTGATAGTTAACAGTTCTGTTCTCAAAAGAGCTTAATACCTTTATCAAACCAGGCACCACAATCCACCAGCTACTATCTGTCTGTAATACAACTACTCTATTTAACAAAATCATTAGCTCAAGAAAAAACCCAATCAGAAAATTTCCTGACTATTCTCTGAAACAACATTTTCATATTTTGAAAGAAACATAAGATTTATACACATGAGGTCTTATGTGCATATTACTTGGACATTTTTAAGAATTCTGAATTCACAAATTTTGGCTAAGCAATTTCACTGCAATTATAGGTTAATGGCATACTACTTGTTGTTTGGAAACCTCCTAAATCACAAGGCAAAGTTAAATCTTTTATAACACTATAGTAATAGAACCTACTACTACATTCAAATTTAAATACAGCTTTTATATTGAACATAGTTTAATGAATATTTAAAGGTACAAAATAAGCAAGTTAAATGGCTTTGGATCATATGACTTAAATAACTGGTCTATATTTATCCATTTAACCTACACATTTTAGCAAAGCAATGTATCCACATTTGCTTTTAAGAAAATTATGAGGTACAACTGCATCATAAGAATTAAACATTCCATTTGTCATTAATTTGATGGCGAAGATTTAGAAAAATAAGAATTTACAGAAATTTTGCTGCTCAGAAAATGGAGCCTAGTTTTAAAAATGACAACTGATACCTAAATCAAAATGTGCTATTATTATTTATCGATCACATATATAACAAAGTTTCCAGATTTTACATTCAAAGCTATAGTATCTTTCAGATCCAATGGGCACTTCAATAGTGTTTGACTGAATCAGTTATTTGGTTTGTTTTTTATTCCAGGACCCACGAGTTCATATGTATCCTAAAAAACAAACTATATATCCATTTTCAAGAGGGCTTCTTAAAGAATATGCAACAGTGTAAGTTAAGAATCCTATTGTTAAGACTAAATTGTAAACATGACCTTATAGTTTAGGTAACACAGTGGTTTAATAACCAGAGATGAACGGAACGGTCACCTGGCAGCTTCTCAACATATACACATGCCTGGGCCACCTCTCTAAAGACAGTGGGTCTGAGGTAATTCTAAAGATGCCAACCCTTATACACCCTGACATTTAGGGTAAGACAACTATAGCTCAGGGAGGTGAATTCTCTTGCTCAAAGTAATCTGTAAAATAAAAAAGGAGGACCTTTAATTTTTAAAGGGGACCATATATGGACCAATGATCAAAGTGCATCATGAAAAAAGAAAAGCCCACTGCACTCTCTCTCCAGTCCTAACTGGTCCATCCTGTCATTTAAAATGAGACACTACCATCCAGAGAGCAGAACTTGCCCAAAGTCACACATGTCTAAAATGATATAACCAGGAATAAAACTTGTATGTATTGCCTCCCAAACCACTGCTTTCCCCAAACTGCAAATAGTGAGAGGTAGTATCCTCACTTTAGACGTACTATTGCAATAAGAATATTTGTTAATAACATGAGAAAATATAGAGACTATCCTTAAACACTAGAAGACTCAGAGAAGCTAGTACGCTCCAAATATATTTTTTTCTCTACCAAAATTAGAATAAGGAAAATGAAAAGGGAAATTACACATTATGGACTAGTGAACTCTAGTGATATGCAGCAGGGTAAAAATGATGTGACAGTACCCATGTTACCATTGTTTTTAAGACAACGGCCTATATTGCTATGTATTCTTCAGACAAATGACAGAAGTTACACAAATTTATATCTTCTAGGTTCTCACTGAATATCTTATGAACTCTAATGCAGTGCTGTTATGCAAGCAATTAAGCAAATACCTCTAGCAAGCACACTGCTAATGCATACAAATTAAATAAATAAATGTATTTATTTATTTATTTATTGGTAGTAGGATTTTAGTCACATCCAAAGAAATACTTTGGAGTTGGGTGATGCGGGGGAGAGGGAGGAAAAAGAAACACAACCAGCATTACTAATGAAATTTGGTTGAAAATTGCTGTAATCCATTTTCTGATGAAGTGGTTCAGATGCATTTTACCCAACCCAAAATACATAAGACAGAGATAAAAACATTCTTTAATAATAATGTACTTCTGACGAGATAGAATATAGAAAATTACACACTTGGTAAATTCATCAGCTAGAAGCAATCAGTGGAGCACTGGAGGTCACCTTTAGCATGCCCTCACTTTGCTTTCACAAATAATCACCTGAAATGTAAGGCCTGAGGCTGACGTTTTCATCTGATTCAAACACAAAACAATCATTGCTCTTTTATGCCACACCAGGTTAGTTTTAAACTTGGCGAGCATTTTAACCAAATGCATAGACATTTGTAAAGTTCAGTTCAACAGACTATTCTGGGATCATTTTTCACAGCAAAAAGCACAAATGCTGAAATACACACATACAAATGCTGCTTTTAAAATCAAAATAACCTATGCATTAAGCATATTCCGAGATTCTGAGACCTTACAACACATATCTTATCATCAGAGTAGACAACTGATTAGAGAACTAGAAAAGCAAAAAAGGACAGAAGCCACTGTTTAGAAAAGCAAGTTGAAACTTAAAAGCTGAAATAAAATTTTTTCATTTGAACAGTCTCACCTTTGTTGCCAAAGCTTCAGCACTTTCTCGACAAGTCTTCTCTATTTCAAGATGGTTCTGCATACAATTAACTTCCTCTATAACCATGTGAGAAACTAGGAATGAGGGGGAACAAAAGTCTCAGCATTCACAGATTACTCAGCTATTTCAGAAGCCCACGCATAGTCCCATGATTAAGAATACTTCAATTCTTTAGCTAGCCAGACCTTTAGATATCATTGCAAAAAAGTTTTTAAGAAGCTGTCCTGATTAAATCTTAGCTAATATTTGAAATGCAGAAAGAAAAAAAGGAATACAACAAAGAAACTTCACTGTAATTACATACATTAAGAAAGCTACTTAGGAGATTTTCTTAAAGCGTCTATTTTCTATGTAGCTATATACGTATCCATAGACATATCTGCTAATTTAAACAAAAGACTCTCATAAATAAAGAAGAGTGGCAACATGACTTCTTTTTCTTAGCAGGATACAATACATGGATCTAATTTAAAAGATTAGCTAAAAAAGAAAGAAAATAAAAATAAATTTTAAGTTGATCTTATAACTGTAACAAGATATGACAGCTAAGTACTACAATATTAGTCTTTATTAGTGACAAAGTAGTTATTGTTATTTCATAAACTCCAGGGCAGAAAAGTATAGCAACAAGATATATGTACTATATGATGATGAAAGCAGATACTAATAAATTGCTTCTTACATCATAGACTGTCAAAAGGATTAAAAGAAAAATAAAGTTTTACTTAATATTTTACCAACACTTGAAAAACAGTAATTTTGGGATTTTTTCTGGTAACTAGCTCATGTAAATTGGGATTTAAAGGTACACATAATTTAAAACTTTCTTGAATTATATTGTGAAGATCAAGTAAGAAAAGTGTCAATTCCTCCTGCCCGTATTTCTAGCTAAAAGAAAATTCTCAGAATCTCAAGCCTAACTTTAAACATGTCTTCTTATTGACATTTGTTTGGCTAAAAAAAAAAAAAAAATTAAAGGACACTCAAATGTGAAACCCAACAAAGTCAGGCAAAAAGCACTGGGCTCACATAACACAAGGGAGATTACTTTTGCTTCATTTAAGCTTAATTAACCTGCAATTATGATTAAACTCAGGAGAAAAAATTTCTCTCCAAATTAAATGCAAAAAATGTATTACTTCCTAAGTCTGTCCAAAGTTCTTATTATGTTAATATTCAAATTCATAAAGCAGCACTAAATGGCCAGAAACATCTCTAACCTTGACATTTTTTCAGGGGTAATAATAATCTGCAGCAAATGCAGGCCAACCAAAAACCACTTAACTAATTAGTAGTTGCAGTCACCGAGAAAAACATGAATCAACACTGTTATTACAAGTGGCACATTTGAGTGGCATCTAATTATGACTTGATGAGCACGATACTTGCATTATCAACATTACTACTGCATCCCATCAGGGACTAAAAGCTGCTGATGGCATTGACTTTGAGAAACTCCCACTCAATGGTACAGCAGCACCCAACAATCGGCTTGGCAGGGGCCCCCCTCACTAAATGACACGTTAAGCGTAATTACTGGTAGACATTGTAAATAAACAGGATTGGAAGTGAAAATTGTACCAAGTGCATAAGACACAATCTGACACATTGGAAGTGGCAGCCTTAATTGAGAGTTTCTTTGACTGCTCAAGATCATTTCAACTGCATTTCTCAGAGGACAGTGATTATAACTGTGGAGACAGACGGCATAATGGTATCAGCACTGCTGACAGAGCAGTGAATTAAATTGTATCTGCTGTTGTGTGAAAGCCTTGATGAGAGGTACAGATGCCTTAGTGGTCTTATCATTATAACACAATGGTCATGTTGTCATCAACCTTTCTGGCTCCAATTGAAAAGAAATGATTGTGTGTTGAAGCTCCCCCCACCCCCAACCACACCACCACCCCCCTCCTCTTCTATCTCTTGTTCTGAATAGAACCAATTTTCCGAGAGCTATGAAATCACGCAATAGGTCCTAAAATGCAGCTGCTTGGCATACAAACGGGTCCCCATTAAACTGGAATCACACACAATATGTGTTTATGCCAGAAGAACAAATAGAAGCTGAACACAGGCCAAGTTTATTCACACACACAAAGCCCATGTAGCTCTTCATCAATATAATTGCCTTTTATATTGTAGTTTAAATAATAGGCTCTATTATTTCCTTAAAATCCTAATATTCCTGGCATTTTATCACTATGTTTACAAGGTAGGTTCTTCAAAAATGTGAAGGAAAGAGAAAAGAAACCTATACAATTTTTACAACATCAAATATTACTTTGAATTTTTAGCCTTAACTACTTGACATCTTCTGCCACAATCTGGTATTCCACTATCATAACAAAAACATAAACACTCTGCATTTTTCATAGGAATTTGACTTTTTATTCAGTAACATTCTTGCTCATAAAAGAGTAAGAAAAATCATTCCACAGTAGTGAGTTTTAGGCCTAGCAAAAAAAGAAACATTTATTTTCTAAACATTTTGTAAAAAGCTGCCCTGTGATTTAACTTGATAAGCTTAGCTAGGTAGTATTCATCCACATTTTTTCCAATTCTGATATGTTATACTCCATCAGGTGGGCTTTTTATTTCTTTCACAAAGAGAAAACAGTAGAAATTTTTTAATTGTGTTATAATAAAAATTAAAGTTTAAGAAATTATTCCAACGCTAAATTGGTGGCATAAAAAGCTACTTATTAACTTTGTAGTTTCAAAAAGGGAAGAATATATTTCAAAGGGCACTTACATTTTTAAAAAGCATGACCCCATTTCCAAAACCAAAAGTCAAATCACATGATAAAAAACAAATTTTTAAAATATATAAATTTAGTTGCACATCTCAAAGAATAAAAATTTTAAAAACGTTTAGCTGTTTATTTAATGACTTGTGGTCCTGAGTTTGGGCTTGTCTCATAATATGCACAATCCATGGTCATTATACCTATAACATTTGCATATATGTATGACATGAGGCTTAAAAAAGACAAAAGATGAGCTTTTAATAAAGGTACCCTAATACTGCAGTTATGTTAAATGGGAAAAAAAAGAACACTAATCTTTATAAATACACACTGAAATATTTACAGTCAGTAAATATTAAAATGGTATGATGATTAAAATTAGTTTCAAAATAATTCGAGGTCAGTGAGAGTGGGTGTATGAGCACATAGATGAAAGAAGGTTGGCCATGAACTGGTAACTGTTGAAGCTGGAGGATGGGTACATGTGGGTTCATTATAGTGTTTTCTCACTTTTGTATGACTTTGAAATTTTTCATAATAAAAAAATTTTAATGACAGTGAGAATGCAAAAGTATCACCTAAAAGTACATCAACTATTATTTCTCTCAGTCTAGTTGAATTAGCAACTATCATCTAATGATGTCAAAGCACTCTTACATACTTGCCATCATAGTACACATCACATTGTAGGGTAACCGATTTTTATTTTGTGTTTTACTTGTTATTGTCTTCTACAAACTGTTGAGTGTAAGAGCAGGGATTTGGTTTCATACATGTCTGATTGCTTGCACCTAGCACAATGCTATGTACAAAGTAGCTACTCATGTTTATGCTTGAAGGACTGAAAAATTATATCAGGTGTAAGTTCATCTGTGAAAACCCTTTTTACAAGAAACAGAATTGCTTAGGAAACACCACCATCACTATTTACTAAGCCTGATTATGTGTCCAGCCTCATACTAAAAACCCTTTACATGTGTTCCCACATGAATTCTCACAACAATCCTACAATATAGGTATTATCGTAGCAATTTTTGAGAACATTGAGACCTAGAAGAGTTAAGTAACATATTCCAAATCATAGAGTTCTAACTGGTAAAGCCCAGCTAAATGCATTTCTACATGACTCCAGTTTTCTATGGTCCTTTCTAATTCATTATATGTTGCTTCCTGAGCAAAACTTCTCTCCAAACTCCAAGTCCCAGCAATAATTAATTGTAGGATATCTCTAAAGCATACGTGGTAAATTTATCACAAATTCTTCAAAATCAGGTTACTTAGAAAGGTTTTTCATTTGGTAGGAAAACAGCCATGATACTACATGTGCAGGAAAACTGGTTTGTCCTAAAACAGAGCAAAGGATCTAATGTAGCATCAAAGACAGAAAGGACTTTACTTCTTCTTTCACAGGAATCTGTCTTCCTAGGGAACATGGCTTTGCCAAGTGGTGGTGGTCTTTGTGTAGAAAGACTAGGAGGAAGGCTCAGGAAGAGCTGGCAGAGGGCCAAGAATGGCATGGAAATATGGATAAAAACATATTTATCCTGGGGAAAGCATGTTAAGCTGTTGAAGAGATAGCCCTACTCTACTTTTTGTAGGAAAAGCCTTATAAAGTTTTTCCTGAGCCTTTTTCAGCTGCTCTTCCTACATTTCAAGACCTAGGCCTAATAGGTAAACATTACGGGGATTTCAGATTTCAACACAACACTAAAAAAACTTCCCCCAGGAGTATCCAAATACAGAGACTGGTGTCAAGGAACTAACTCCCTAAAGGTAAATGATATGAACTTTTAACACTGAAGGGCAGCCAGGCTCTGGGTAGTTTAGTAGATGACATGATGGCAGCAGCAATTAACATTTATTGAGCACTTACTATAGGCCAGCTAGTGTTAAGCACTTTCTACATGGATTGTCTCATTTTATCCGCACACAGCCTATAAAGCAGGGCCATTTATCCTGATTTTACTAATGGAGAAAATTGCTCAGTAAAACAAAAACAAAAACAACAAAAAACAGGGTTGGCTGGTTAGGTCAGTTGGTTAGAGGTGGTATTGATAATACCGAAGTCAAGGGTTCAGATCCCCTTACCTGCCAGCCACCTAAAAAAAAAAAAAGAAACTTGAAACTTGCCCAGGGCTACTTGGATTCACACCAAATGATGTTGTTCACTGGTGATAAAATACAGTCTCATTCCCTTCCAAATTTGAAATTCTATCCTTTGTTTAAATGTCATGAATTGGGCCGGCCTGGTGGCACACTGCTACAGTGCGCCGCTTGGGAGTGCGGCGGCGCTCCCGCCGCGGGTTTGGATCCCACATACAGA